GGTGGTGGTGGGGGGGCGGTTGGGGGTGGGGGGCGCTCAAAGGGGGCCTCGCCCGGGGAGTAATTCGATGTAGAACCGCCACTGTATATATATATATATATATATATATATATATATATATATATATATATATATATATATATATATATATACACATACACACATATTGTGCACATCATTCATACATGACCATACACACACACACACACACACACACACACACACACACACAACTAATTTCAACATAATATTGCAGTGTAGTAAAATCACAGTTTAATTCTCAAAACCCCCAAACATAAAAAAATATATTCTTAAAATTTAAAATACAGCTCACTTCAGAAGATGTTTAGCTTGACATTATCTTTGGGAAAATAAAAATATTTGGAGTTTTTTCTGAAAACATTTTTATCAATTTCCCTCAACAGAAATCCTGGTAGTGCATTCCATAGCACCACAGCACAATAGACCACAGTTTTCTGCATTTGATTTGTTCAGCACGTAGGTAACACACACCGTCCATGCATACTTTGTCTTGTGGAATAATCATGTTTATCTGCGAAAAAAGACAAGGTGGAATAAATTACATTTAGAGTTTTTGTCGTAATGATATTTCTAATAAACATTGTTGATGAAAACTCAAATCTCTCTCTTTCTTTTAGCCAGGACAACTTATTGTGTAACAGATTTACACTGGTTCTGTACGGACTCCCCAATACCATGCGCGCTGCCTTGTTTTGTGCAATTTGTAACTTGTCTAGACAATTTTCACTGGTGTTGGGCCAAACCACAGAGGCATAATCTAAGTGTGAAAGCACCAGTGACCGAACTAGTTTCTTAAGTGAAATGGAATGAATTTCCAACAACGTCTGATAAAGGTCCATACTTCTTCCCATTTTTTTCAACAGGTAGTTAATCTGATTCACCCAGGATAGTTTATTATCAACAATAACACCCAATAACTCAAACTCATCAACCTGTTCAATAATAGTACCATCTAAGGTCAAGCTTAAGAGTGGATTCGATTTTAAAAAGTGTCTAGATCCTATGACCATACATTTAGTCTTATTTGTGTTTAATATCAAATTGTTTGCTGTGATCCATCTATTAACATATTCTAGTTTGTTATTTAGAACAGTATTAAGTTGTAATATTGTTTTCGCTGGTGCGTATAATGTAATATCGTTTGCATAAATTGCCATTGTGGCAGGATCCAACACCATAGGCAAGTCATTCATAAAAATGGAAAACAACAAAGGTCCTAAACAACTACCTTGGGGCACTCCACAACACATCCTTTCAGTCTCAGAGCAGCTGCCATTAAAATAAACTGTATACTCTCGATCACAGAGATATCTGTCAATCAATTTTACTGAAGAAGGTTCCAATCCATAACACCTCAACTTTTTAAAAAGCATGTTATGGTCTAAAACATCAAAAGCTGCCCTTAAATCAAGCAGCACATTTCTAACAAGGTTTTTATTGTCAATTTCTTGCAACCAATCATCTGTTATCTGAGTTAATGCTGTGGGGGTAGAGTGCTCCCTTTTATATGCATGTTGATATATTGTATTTAACCCATTCACCAAGAAATAACTCTGAATTTGTTCATAAACTACCCTCTCCATGATTTTACTCAAGGCAGGTAATAGACTGATTGGTCTACTATTTTGACCTGAAAATGGCTCTTTATTGTTTTTAATCAGCGGAATAATATTTGCCTTTTTCCATTGTGAAGGAAATACACTTAGCTCCAAACTTAAATTAATTATATATGAGAGTAGGGAAACAAAGTCTGCTGCTAACTTCAGTATTATCAATGCCTGATTGTGTATCTTTACTAGTTAGCAAAATCTTCTTAACAGTCTGATCAGTATTTTTTTCAAATTTAAATGTACATCCTTTACTCCCCATCATCTTTTTTATCATACATGAAAAGTCATTATCTTGTTTTTGATTCATGGAAGATTTCCAGGTTTGAATTTTGTCCTTAAAGAATTTGCATAAATGTGTGGCGATATGTTTTGGTTTTGTAATAAAGACCCCATAGAGTTCCAAAAAAAGTGGAATTGTTGTGGCCTTCTTTCCCAATAGTTAATTTAATGTACCCCATATACATGCATTATCCATTTTTGCCTCTTTAATTTTATTTTGATAATAGATTCTCTTCTTACTTTCATTTAGTTTGGTAACATAATTTATCAATCTGCGATATATTTTCCATAACGCCACATCATCATATCTAATTGCATTCTCTTTAATTGTGTTTCTTTGACTCATAAACTCTTTCAATTCTTGGTCTAGCCAGGGGGTCGAGTTACTTCTTACAGCTAGCTTCCTTATAGGAGCATGTTTATCTAAAAGCTTTCCTATTAACTCACTGAAAACCTCCACAACACTATTTGGGTCACGCTCCTGATTTACTCTTTTCCAATCCACATTTTTCACATCCTCTAAAAAGTCATTTTCTTCAAATTTTCGAAAGGTCCTCTTCACTATAAATCTTTGGCCTGATTTAGGTACTTTTGTTATCTTTCTAATTACAATTAAATTATGATCACTGCAGCCTGCCGGCATTGAAACTGCGTTCGAACACACCTGACTCATATTTGTAAATAATAAATCAATTAAAGTTGCTGATTGAGAACCATCAGCTTTTACATTTACTCTTGTATGTTGTGAGACCATCTGTGTCAAATTGCACGCAAGAGCCGCTGAGTACAATTTATTCCTTAAAGCACAATTTGTAGAATGCCAATCAATGTTGAAATCTCCTAAGAAGTAAATATCATATACTCTTTCACATACTCTATCCAACATTTCACATATTGAGTCTAAATGCATTACAGATGCATTTGGTGGTCTATAACAACCACCTAGAAGAATAGTTTTCAAATGTGGCAACTGCAGCTCTAACCAGATCACTTCCACTCCTAGTACATTCAGATCACTACGAATCTTTACTGGTATTTCACTTTGAACATAACACGCTACTCCTCCACCTTTTAAATTCCTATCTTGTCTATAAATGTTATATCCCTCGACGTTTAATACAGTACTGTTGATTGAAATATCCAGATGTGTTTCTGATAACACTAATACCTGTAAATTATAGTCCTTTATAATCTCGGATACTTCTTGTACCTTGTTTCTTAAACTACAAATATTCAGATGTGCCATTTTAAATCCACCCTTCAGAATCCTTACATCCTCGTTACTCATCCTTATAAAATATTTGGGGGGGTTACTATAACAACTGCTTTTAACATGTTTTGGACCTTTAAACACATACACACTATGTGATCCCACTTTATCCCAACACGACATTCTCATCCACACCCCAGACTCACCACACACCCACACATTTCTTAACCATTGTAATGTAATACATAGACAATGCGTCAGCTGAGCCAACTCAAGAATTCATGACAGAACTCCTTTATCAACTAAAGCGAGCTTAACAGAATCCAACCCGGCTTAAAATACGCATTACTATGCATTTTTATGTTCAACATTGTGCTTTCTCCGGTCTGCTTGTAGTCTTAGACCCTGTCCACACGTAGCCGGGGAGCTGCCAAAACGTAGATATTTTTCTACGTTTTGGCCTGTCATCCACACGAAAACGGAGTTTTTTCACACGAAAACGGATCTTTTTAAAAACTCCGGCCAAAGTGAAGATCTGCGTTTTCTCCGTTTTGGGTGTCTGCGTGTGGACGAACAAAACCGGAGTTTTAAGATCCGCAACGTCACTTTCCGCGACAAAAAAATGCTGACATCACGTGTGCGACCTGTGTTTACGCTAGCCGACAGCATGGATGCCCTCAGAGCTGCGCTCGCTTTATCAATTGTCCAAGCGCTTTTTGCTTGTTTGTTTTTGCTAGCGGAATTACTGCTCCTTGCGGAAGACCACAGACGAAGGGCGAGGTTAAGAACGCGGAAGTACTGCCGCCTACAGGTCTGGGATGTCCTTAACAACGTATTTATCCGGGTACGTGTGGACAGTTTTTTTTTAAACGAGGTGGTGTGGATGCAAGTTTTTGGAGGGGCGGATATTCGTTTTTTTTTTTTTTACGACTACGTGTGGACTAGGCCTTAAACACATGTCTCTGCCACACTTCTATCCATCATTTTTTTAGTTTCACCTTTAAAAGTTATCACTGTGGCTGGATGAATTATGCCAATCTAAAAATCTCTTCATTCTGTGTTTCTAATGAGGAGCAGCCCGTTAACATCATGAGTGTTTAAAATAAATATGGACCAAAACACCAGTGATTAATTATTGATCATGAAACCAGGAGGCTAATTTTAGCAGCTGTATGAAGATTGGAAAGACGTGGCCAGTCGATTGAGACAAACAATTAGAGATGCTGAAAAGTAGCGAGGTCTAAGTCATCGCTGCCACAGAAGAATAAAGCTCCGTCTGCTTCATTGTTGGGAACAACGTCAGCTGGCTCAACTGAAGGTCAACGATGTATTAGTTTGTTTAATCAAAAACCTTCAAACTGACTGCAATATAAGACGAGAGCATTCGATAAAGCTGGCCTTTAAGGTCGTTTTAGTCAGATTTTCATATCTGGGGTTCCATCAGGAACTCCTTGGTTCCAATTTAAAGCTAATATTCTAACTTACGTTTTTATCTGAATAAAGCATCTTTCGTGATACACAAGTACAGCTTTTGGTGGCTTCAACAGCAATTAAATGCAAAGTTAAAATGTTTAGCATACAAAATAAGGAATCCCACTTCCATGCAGATCTCCTTTAATCACAAACAATTATGAGAGCATAACCAAGTAAGGTTGGTGTTTTATCCCAAAAACATTCAAGTCAGCCTTCAAACCATCAAATCTGTGCTTCAAATTATCTGGAGGAGATTTAATGATTTACTTTTTATTTTTAAAGTGCTGTTGTAAGTGCATAAGCGTGCCTCTTCCCCTCGCTTTATTGGCTGGAAATCCAACCCGCCCTGTTAACAACGCCTTGCCACTAAATAAAGAACACGATACCTTGTTGACTTCCAGGATTTCTCTTCTCTCCTCGCTGGAGAGCTGGCTCTGCCCGGCTGAACAGTCCTCGTGCTTGGAGCCGTCCTCCTCCACAAAGGGTATCAGTTGCTGAGAAGGACAGAAACAAAAGACTGGTTGTATTAGTTACTGAAAGCAAGACAGCTGTAAGAGAATTTCTTACTCAAATGAACAATAAGGTAATGTCTATGCTGTCAAAGTATCACGTTTTTTAATCAAGTCTGTTCTTGGAATAAACTGCTTGTAATCACTTTTTCCTCATCATGTTAAATGCATTTAGGGGATTTAAGCTGCACGCTCACTAAGAGCATGTAAAACTCTGATTTGCATGTTCTCCACTAATGAATCCTAAGCTACATGTAAGACGTATATCTGCTCTCTCTACTTGTTTCCATGAAATAGTGAAGATGGGGATTCTGTGTAAGCTTTCAAACTCTGTGTGAGAGACAGGAAACAGTGAGAGAAAGAGACAGTGTGAAAGATTAATTCATTTTTAAACGCACCGTGTGTTTGACCTTGCCTGCTTGACAAGTCCAGGAGGCTGAAGTGTAAGACTTTGGGAAAGGCAGCGCTCCTTAGTGCCTGTTTTGCTACATCATACTGCCCCCTAGAGGTCAGAGCAGCGAGAACAGGGCGGGCTGAGGTTTGCTGCAGTCACAAGTTAAATGATCTATAACTCTCTAAAGAACACACACCACTCCTCATTAAATCAGCATGTATAGATAATCTATGTTGTAGAATATTACCTGATAATCTGTCAAGGTCAAGTAAAAAATTTAAGTGTTTAATCACACCAATAAAACATGCCAGCACATGTAGACACTATACACTCAATAGCCATTTTATTTGGTACACCCGTTTAGCTGTTTAACACAAGAGCCAATCAGGTGTAATCATATCGATGCACTCAGGCCTCCAGATGTGGAGAGGAGTTGATGAATTTAAAACCAGCATCAACACAAGAAATGGGGCTGTTGGTCTGAGTATGTCAGGAAAAACTGAGATTTTAACTCACATCTCTAAAGTAAAAGAATATATCTAGGGAGCAGCATTTGTGTAGATGAAGATGTCCTGGTTTTAGATGATAGACAGCAACAGAAGCTCAAATAAACACTGAATCCAACTGAGGTCAACAGAAAATCATCTCTGAACCACAACAGGCATCAACGCTTCAGGCTGCTGCTGCTGGTGTGAATGGTAAATGACCTGCATTTGTATAGCTCTGTTCTTAGTCAATCATTCAAACACATATCCATTCGTCCATTTTCCTGTGGGGTTGGGTTGCAAGGGCAGCTAAGCAGAGGCTCGGACTTCCCTTTCTCCAGCTCTGGGCCGGCTCCTCCGGGGGAAACCCAAGGCGTTCCCTGGCCAGATGAGAAACAGTCCCTCCAGCATGTCCTGGGTCTTCCTTTAGGTCTTCTCCTGGTTGGATGTGCACAGAAGACCTCACCAGGGAGGCGTCCAGGAGGCATCCTAACCTAAGTCACCTCAACTGGCTTCTTTGGAGGTGGAGGAGCAGCGGGTCTACTCTGAGCCCCTCCTGGATGACTAGCTTCTACCCAAAGCTCGTGACCATAGCTGAGGGTTGGACCGTAGATCAACCTATCACCTTTCAGCTCAGCTCTCTCTTCTCCTCAACAGACCAGTACAGCGCCCGCATCACTGTAAACACATCACCAATCTGCCATTTTTCCCTCATTCATGAACAAGACCATGAGATACTTGGAACCCTTCATACCACCTGACACTGAGGTTAAACACTACTGTGTCCCAGAGTATTGTTGTTGACCATGTCAATTTGACACACATTTGACCACATGGACCCATCTTCTAATGGCTACTTCCAGCAGGATAATACACGTCACACAGCTCAGATCAGCTCCAACTCCTTTCTTGACCATGGCGATGAGTTGACTGGACTCCAACAGCCTCCATGGCCACCAGATCTCAGTCAAGCGCTGAACCTTTGGGATGCTGTCTGAGGAGTGTCTCAGATACCTTGTTCAATCCATTCTATGAAGATCTGAGGCAGTTCTGATGGCAAAAGGGGATCCAATCCAGTTAGCCTACCCTATAAAATCACATTTGTTTGCCATTAAAACTGCAAACCTACATATATTAGGCTTTTTTTTGTAAAGAAGAACCTACAACAATAACAAAAACAGACATCTTCATACCAGACAAGATTGTAAACACAGATTAGGCAGGAGAATCTTCAAACTACTAATGAGGGCATTAAAGCAAAAATGTAGTGAGGAGGAAAAACGCTTTGTTCAAGCAAGAACTTGAGGTTAGTTCTGGTTTCAACTGTACACAATTCTTCACTGTATTATTTTTGGCTTCAGTGTTTGGCCCGAGGTCGTACATCTGCTTTTACCAGACAGACAATGATTAAAGTAATTGGAAGCAATGACTAACTGGTGCACGATGAGTGTATCTGATGCAAGCAGACATCGACCCAAACTAAAAGGAAAAACAGTTCACGAGAAGAGATCAAACTGAGACGGAAAAAAGGATGTCTGGATCTTAAAACGAACGGAGGTGAAAAGACAAACAAAAATGTGGAAAAGATTAATAGAAAAAACAAATAAAAGAACACGAGGAAAGAGGTGACGCTATAAAGGTGACACTCATTTAGTCAGTACCTTTGCAGTGGTCTCTGGTAGGAACGAATGCCTTGCAAGTCGTATTGGTGTGGGGGGGGGGCGCAGAAGCACCTGGATCAGCAGGGACAAGTCTGCTGCAGCAGACAGCAGGATTTGGAGTCTTATTTCCTGACAGACGTCTCGCTTCATAATGGATAACAGCAACAGGATTCTACCACTAACTCTGTTTGCGCTGCTACATGTATGTTTTATCTCCATAACACATGCCTGGAGGAGCTTCTGCCGTGTGGTTGAGTTGCTAATGCTAACAGTTAGCTTCTGCTAGCCGAGACGTTCAATGCGGCTTCTTGGACGCTACAACAACAGCTTTCCCCGTCACGAGCCTAGATGGATAAGTCCAAGCGACCGCTTGACACAGATCTGTCAGGCTTTTCAAATCCTAGAGTTTCATCATCTATTTTCCATCAGAAGATAATGCAGGAGATCGGCGTAGGAGACTATTTTCTTGTTCGGCCTGCATGAAAAACTCATGGTGACCAATTATAATCAGAAATAATCATTAAAATGGTTTTACAGTGTTCCACGCCTTTAAATCTGGAAATCATCGACTTATGCGAGTTTCCAGGAAGAACTGGGCACTGAAAAAACAACAGGGTAAACGTGCAGGACATTACACCAAAATACCAGCCAACAGAGAAAACTCAGACTCAAGTTATTTTATGATTATTATTATATAATTTGAGAGCAAAGCCAATGGCATATCCAGTTTTAAAGGTAGTGGGCAAATCCTGGCAGCTTGGAGGAGGAAAGTAAAATGTGCTGAGTACGGCTGGAAAAGATGGATGGGGGGTGCATTGTGCGTGTGAGTCAGTATAAATGTATGTGCGAATGTGCCGGTGTGAGTCATAACCCCTGCCTCCTCTACAGAAAGATGGATGTGGTTTCCTGCCTGACAGAGAAGAATGAGCTAATGAAGTTCTCCAGGTTGGCTCGGCGAGACAAAAGGGAAAGGGCAGGAAAAAAGGAGGAGGGAAAAAAATCTAAGTAATAAGAAAATAACAGGGTGAGTGGATAAGGAGAGAGGGAAATGAAAGAGCGGGACTGTTCACCGCAGGAAATGACAAGAGCTTCAGTAAACTTGGACGACAGTGAAATAGAAGATCAAATCTGAGAGAAAGCCAATATGAAAAGACTGACTGGGAGAAAGGAAAATGTGGAGAAACTGCCAATATCAAGCAGATATTAAAAAAGAGAGAGGAAACAGAGGGACAGGAAAACACCTAAAGATTTACAAAGTGGGGAAAATCTGCAAAAGAACAACAGCTGGAGTGGAAAAAGATGGAAGCGCTGACGTGTGCACTTGATCCAGCTGTTCATTAAACAGGTCTGCTGCTAATTAGGCTGCAATGAGGTCACCCTGCTCGAGTCATTGATTCCACTTCCTGTTTCAGGCAGCCAATAGTGAGCAGCTGTCAGGTGGCCACCTGAATTCTCCAGGATGATAAATGGCATGAACAGCGGGGCCAAAATCAACAATCCTCAGCCGCAGACAAACACGGCGAGCTCAGTTATTGGCTGGTCAGCACCGGACTGGGTCTCCAAGAGGAATGGATAAACATTTCAAAAGGAACTGGGTCAGGTGGTGCGCTGAGGCTGTAGCAGCAAAAAAATAATACATCATAGAAGCTTGAGATTTAGGGACAAAGCCCCCCTGAACACACAGTTGATGAATCATATTAGCAGAAAATGTTCGTGATGGCAGTAAATATGAATTTGCTCCAATTTTAGACTGGTCTCCTCCCACATCCTCCTTTATCCCCAGTGGGAGGCCGGTGAGAAAGATTAGCTCAGAGGCAATCTTTAGAAATTGGGAGGGGACTGCCATAGTCATAAATCCAATCAAACAGAGGTGGACGGCTGTGCTGCAGCCCTGCACGGCACTTTACACGGTGCACACCCAGACATGACTGAAGTGTGCTTTCCATGTATGCAGAAATGAGTCAAAGCCATGATTTTTAGATGAGTAATGGTATATTCTGCGTTTCTGAGGGGATGGAACTGACTTAGGCTGACCACAGTCACCAGCAAAGCTTAAAGACACTCCAGAGACTCGCCTGAACCTGCAGCGAACACTGAGAAGGCAAACCGAGAGGGAGCAGAGGAGATAAGGACCCCCCAGGGTATAGATGTGAGTTGATGTGTGCAGGACTGTGAGCAAGTAGCTATGGCCTACTTCCTTTAAGCTAAGTTTCCTAATTTAGCTCATTTTAGCTGAATTTAGCCGAGCTGTGTGAGGCAGCATCTGAGAGGATATGAAAGCCTAGACGAGAATGTGCAGCACGGAGTTTGCATCTGGAAGCTTAAATCAATCCCGTTATAAAGGAAAAGCTTGTTTGAGTTGAGCCGTCAGCCTCCTCAGGTTAGTTTACCCTGCAGAACATGCTTTTACAGACGTAATACACCACCAAACTCATTCTAGTCACAGTAACTTTTTAAAGTGTAATTTAAAGAATTGTTGCTTTACAAGTCCGTGTGTTTTAGCTGCTGTAGATGTTTGTGCTGTGGTACACGTGACGCAATATGCATCAACAAAAACACGTGGTTCAAAGATCTGCTGCTCAAAATCCCACAAATTCCCAAAATCCCAAGAACAATCCTTTGCATTTATGTCTAATTGTTTTATCTTATTTTTGTCTTGTTTTTCTTTGATGTAAAGCTAACTATGTGTCTGTTGCCGCTGCCTCTTGGCCAGATCACCATCGTAAATGAGAATGAGTTCTCAGTTGACTCGTCTGGATAAATAAAGGTTAAATTAAAAAAAGAGTTTCTGGATTTTTCTGAACAACCCTGATCCAAACATCACTTACAAACCACACAAAAAGAATACGCCAGAAGAGAACAGCTAAAATAACCAAGTTGTTACCGAACATAATGAGTAACGTGGGCTGCACGGTGGCGCAGTTGTTAGCACAGTTGCCTCGCAGCAAGAAGGTTGCAGGTTCGAAACTCGGCTACAGCTTTTCTGCATGGAGTTCAGTGGCGGCTGGCCAGTAGAGGGCGATAGGGCGCCGCCCTCCCAGTTTCCCCTGTGTTTTTAATTTTTATTTAAAAAAATAAATAAATAAAATTAACAATAATCATATATTCTAAGTTAATTGTGTGTTTTGTAACAAAAATAAATCATATATGTATATATATCTATATTGGTCTCTGCCGGTCTCTGCCGAGCGGTGGAGGCTGTGTGCTGTTTTTCAATCGCCCAAACAGGACGGGACCAGTTGTCCAATTGCTGACAAGAAAATCAAAGGGTAGGAATGGGATTGTATCCAATCAGTGTCGACGTTGTTTCAGAACGTTTCAGAAGCATGATGGGCGATAGAGCTACCGCCAAGGCTTTCGTTGATGTTCGGTAGAACTCGGAGAGTCTCGACTCCAGCACGTTTTGACGGTCGTGACGCAGACGTAGACAGTGCGCCTACAACATGGATACCGGATCTCAGCAGCCACTGAATTCAGTCCGGTCTCTTCTCCAGCATCAGTTCGAGAGGAGAACTATGGTGGAAAAACTTAATGTCAAAGAGCTTGGACCAGATCAGCCCGACGTAAAGATAAGCCAGCAGGAGAAGGAGAAGGGTAAACTGTACACACGATGCTTCTCCCAAAATTGGTACACCAGGAAGCAGTGGCTAGCTGGATGCAATCACGCTAATGCGTTATCTTGCTTTCCGTGTTTGTTATTCAAAACGGCTGGGATCCACAGAAGGTGGATGTGGAACTTGTGTCTCATTGGGGACTCCATTCATTCTCTGACTGAGGAATGCAGCGCATCAATGCAGCAGCCAACAAAGAAACGGAGGACGTTTGGACAGGGAGAACAGCAGCTGGGTGCAGAGGTAAGCTGTACATTACATTTCTGTAAACAAGACAATCAGAATCAGAAATCCTTGGTTGTCCCACAAACCGGGACATTTGTTTAATAACATGTTTAATGTGCAATAACTGTAAAAACTAATTTCAACACACATACCTATTATATATATTTAATCATGTAAATGTGTATTTCATGTAAATTTGTACATACATCAATCTGATTCCATTTTACTTGTTACACTTCTGCTGCAGCAAACAAATTTCCCAGCTTTTGGGACAATGAAACATTTCTGATTTGTCCCAAAAAGTGGGAAATATGGCATTTGTAAGAGGATACTGATGACATTATTTCCTATGAAAGTGTTTCCACTTTCCATAAGTCCTAACAGTGTACATTTCTGGCATTTTGTCTAAGTGGTGTTTACTACCATTACTGTAACAGTGACCTGCTCATAATTTTTCGTGTTCACTCAAATGTTGAAATTAAACAAAATGTTTTTGTTACTTGCCTCTTGCATTGCCTATTTACCATTTATGGTTGTGTTATTTTATGTGCAATTTAATGCAGTATTTTTCAACCTTGGTCTGCAAGGCAGCGTGCCAATAGTCAGACACACCTGGATTAATCAGTTTGTCCAATGATGTAAGACAGGAAATAAAAGAGCTGTGCTTAATTCAGGAAATAGTGAAGTTGTGCACAAAGCTCAGAAAGCACAAGTTTGTTTAAAAAAAAATAGTGCAGCCCCACCAAAAATATTTTTCACCAGCCGCCACTGATGGAGTTGCATGTTCTTCCCATGCATGCGTGGGTTTCCTCCGCGTACTCCCACAGATCACAACATGCCCTATAGGTTAACAATTGTACGTCGCTTTGGATAAAAGTGTCTTCCAAATAAATAAACATAAACAGACTCGACAGATGTCGTTTATAGAGACACGGCGACCTGTGAAGCTAAATAAGTGAACGTTGTTGTATCAACATCAGTGACCAGGTGACCAGGACACTGTAATCAATTTTTGGCAAGGGAAATGATCATTTGTTGCCATTTTTGAGGTGTTTATGAAAGTGGAAGACACCCAGCATCCTGTGATGGCACTAATAACACCAAGAGATAATAAATAAAGTTATATTTAGGAAAATTTAACCCTTTACAGAAGAGCAGGACACTGTAATCAATTTTTGGTATGTGCGTGCGTGCGTGCGTGCGTGCGTGCGTGCGTGCGTGCGTGTGCGTGTGTGTGTGTGTGTGTCCCATAAAGTGTCTAAACTTCACCCATGCAAGAGTATCCATCTGCATTTGTTTTACATATCACCCTTGGGCTTTTCTACCCCAAAGAAGAGGCCACAGCAGATTTACTGAAAAAACAAGCGACGAAGAGCTTTTAACTAAGACCATAAAACCAGTGCCACTAGCTGAAATCACTGTTTTCATCTGATATGAAGAGACTTAAAAAGAAGTTGAGGTTATTATTGAAAAATATATTTTATTAAGCCTTCAGAAAAGGCATCTTGCTGAAAACCCATCCTTGTTCCTCTCTGGTTTATAACAAATCATTATCACCATCTTGACATGTATCTGTGTCTCCTGGTCTCACCTCTGGCGGTATGGGGTCCAGCCCGGCACAGTTCTCGCTGCATTTGTCGTAGACGAGGCGCAGCTTGCGAAAGAGAACAGAAAGCATTCGTAGATGCTCCTGGAGTTTCCCCAGCCGGTCCTGATGGGTGTTGGGATGGTAGGTGACTCCGTTAGGCAACTGAAGAGAAGCACAAAGTGTTAAACATGCATTCATAAATGAAATCCACATTCAAAGCCAATAACACGAAACCCAGCAGCATCAACAGATAAAGATTTTCCACCACATCGCAATGTTTTCTTTACTTTGCAGGATTCTGACTACAACGGGTGTTAAAAAGTAACAAGGCGCGCTTTTATTCAGAAGATCGACAAGCCTCTGGGGGCAGCAGCGTCTGATTATAAACATCCTACACAGCATGAACAAGCCTGCCTGCAGGGCAAGCGCAGCACAGACAGTGAGACAGAAAGAGAGAGAGAGAACTGTTCTTATTGGTGAGACAGTCTGGTCTAAAGAGACGAGTCATAACAACGCTGTTTGTGGATTCTGAAGCGTGCTTGTTTGGCTGTGATTTGGACACGCTGCAGGACGAGTGTCTCTGAGGACGATGCAGACAGACACACACACACACACACTAAACTCCAGCTGACCTCTTCTTTTAGACGGCCACAGCAGAGCTGAACAGGAACTGTGCCACGCGCCATCAGAAATGAACACAGGACTCCATTAGTGATTCAGAAATTCAGCATTTTAGATAACAGAGTGACCTTGAAGAACAATAAACTGAATATACTTGAGTATGCAGGGCAAGAAGAGAAAAGGCTGTTTGTAGCTTCTTTGTTACTCACAGCTCTTTTTGTTCCAGTGTGAGCAACAAAAAAAAGTTTTTCAAAATGGAAAAATATCATTTATCCAGCGTTAGATCACAGACTAGTGCCTTATTTTCATTTCCTCTGTAACACAATGGGTGTTCATGGATTGAGTGTGACATTAGGACTGGACAATGTCTCCAGCTTTTAAAAAATATCAATATATTTTCTGATGAGACAAGAAAACCCAGTAAAGTGTACCTTGCTATAAACTTACAGCACACAGTTGTGTCCGGTTGATGGTTTTCTGACTAAACTCACAGAAAAGATGTTCTCTTGATTCATAAAAAAAACTTTAGCTTTTTCTAGCTGTTCTGTCCTAAACTTCCAGCTTCATGTTTAATGTTTGGGGGGACATTCGTGTTTCACCAAAGTCCCAGCCCCACCCACGTAACAGGATAACAGGTAAGGGGGCCTGCAGCAGCCAAAACACTCCAGAAGCTACCAAATATCATCTCCTACTCACCGATCTGGGTGATTCAGGTTTACCGCTAACAGCTTTAATACCAGCAAGACCCGCATGCGTGTAATCTGCAGCCTATTGCAAATTGGCGTATTATTTATTTATTAGTTTTATTTAGAATTTTATAAAATGGCTCACCGCAGGTTGCCGCATATGGAATTTTAATTATTTTAAATAGATAATAAATTAATTACAAATAAACAGCTCTCGTCTCAAATGTCACGTGTAACTTTCATTCTAAACTGATGTTTTGTAAATATATTACAGGAAGAAAATAGATTTAAGTTTTGGTCCTTGTCGCCCAGCTCAATGCGAAAGTTAATGAGACTCTGAATAATAAATGCAAATAATTTCAGAAACCCATTTATTAAGGGAACAGCACGAATCACCTTATAAAGATGGACCAGGCTTCCCAAGTTATTCAAAAATAAAGCTAAACTTTCTCCTTTACGGGCACCATGTTCCTGCACACCTGCATGTAGTACCTGTGTTTTCTTAAACACCAAATAACTAAACACATCTAAAAATAAAAATAAAAATAATAATAATAAATGAACACGCACCAGCAATGTAACAAACATGTTTGAGGAAGACGACTTAAAACATGTACTGGAAATAGCCACTAGAGGGCGCTCCGCTCCCAGTTTCACTGTATATTGTGTCCGTTTTGCTGTAATATTTCTATAGTGGACCCTCTGGTGTATGTTTTTGTTCAAGTTTGTATAGAATTTGTTTCTTTGTATACTTATACCTTGGTTCAATAATGTTCTGAAAAAAAGTGTGTTTTGGTACGTTTTTCAGCACAGATCTGTTTAACTGGTTCAGTGTGTCAAACACAAAGATCGTCTCATTAAATGGCCTGTATTTGTATAGCGCCTTTAGGGTTCTACACACACACACACACACCCCAAGGTGCTGCGCAACTCAGTCATCTACCCATGCACACACACATCCACACGCTGGTGATGATGAGCTACGATGTAGCCACAGCTACCCTGGGGCGCACTGATAGAGGTATGGCCTGTCGAACACTGGCACCACCAGCCCCTCCGATCACCACCAACATTCTGTGGTCGGAGCCGGGATTGAACCTGCAACCTTTCGATTACTGGACAACTCGCTCCAACTCCTGAGCTACTGCTGTCCTCAGAGTGATTGGAGAATTTACAAAAAGTGAAAACTGATATAAATGTTCCTAGTAACCAACCTAAAAATATCTTCTCTCCTCTTCGTGCTTCCTTCTCTGTAAATTACCTTTGAATATTTCATTTCTACTGTGTTACTGACAGCGTGTCTGCATTTTGAAGAGCAGTCACTGATCAGTGTCATTGATTTAATGTAGCTGTTGAGCAAAACTCGACATTATTCTTGACACATTTTGGTTGTAAGATAAATGAGAAGAAAATTACAAATAACCACTTACAGCTTTACTGATGGTGCTGAAGAATGATCTGATGACACTTAGGATGATCTTGCTCAAAATGTTTGCTTTTCATTTAAGTGTACAAATAACATCAAAGGAAAACTTATTTTGGTGGGAAAACATGCTTCTTTCTTGTGGAGATCTCCTGTTTATGTGCAAAAGTGAATATTGCTTTGTAAAGGCTTTCAATACATTTGGAATTTTTACCCAAATTTAGGATCTTATTAGGAAAACGTAAGCAGGAATGAAAGGCGGAGACGCGATGAGGCAGACCTGCATGTTCCTGAGGAGCTGAAAGATCTCCATCGTCCTGAGGACAATGTCTTGGACTGTCTCCTCTCCATAGCGACACAAGGAGGACGTGTTGACATCTCGTGCTGCCTGGGCCTGCTGCTGCTGCTGCTGAGGAGGATGAGGAGGCTGACCACCAAAGGGAGGCACCAGAGGAGGGGTCGTCATGGAGACAGCAGGTGAAGATGCTGCAGGCACAGATTCAGGTCTGGATTGTCTCCTTTCAGGCTAATCCACATCTGCTCACATTCACATGCCTTTAATTTGGGAATAGAGAAATTAAAATAACTTTAAAAAAGAGTTCAAACATGTTTATTATGCATAATATGCAAGTAGTTTGTGTTTCTTAAATTAAATGACACAGATACGTATAGAAATAATATTTAAAGCTATTACAGCTGAATTATTTATCCAGTTTCAGCATCAGCACTAATCTAAAAGCTCAGCAGCTGTTAGATTAGCTACAATCACCCTAACTCCACAGATGACTGTTTGCTAACATTTTAGCATTAAATATAAGTTATTTTGGGCGGTTTAAGACACGCTTCCGCGGTTTTCTTAACTAGGTGAGTCTATTTTAAATGCTATTCAGGGTTTTACTTGTGTTTCACCAGGTGTTTTCAATCAAACAACCAGTTAATTAGCTCACACAAAGTCGCTAGAGATCGTAACTTCACACAGCTTTCACCTTATTTTGGAGCGCTTTGGCTGACCCGCCCAGTATGGCCAGGTAACACGGTTTAAATCACGTTTACAACCCGGGTAAAACACGGAGTTACCTGTTTGGTAGTAGTTTTTCTCTTTTGTTGACATGACAAGTCTTCAACAAACAGCTCCTGGGCTCAGCTACTGCTGCAAGTATCGCGAGAGTTCAGCTTGACACATCGATTAGGAGTAGTAAACTTTGGAATAGAAGCGCAACGTTTTTCTTTTTCTTTATTTAATGGAACATTGTGTTATCTTTCGTTGTTTTTAATTTGTTTGAGTGTAGTTATAATGCTCAAATAACTTTAAATTTTAATAGAAGTTTTTTTTCTTAAAAAGTTTTAAACAAAAAAAACTGCGCACTGCAAATATGTTTGGATGAGAGTGGGCTGGAAACAAAGGCAACACCGCCACTTGCTGGTTCGTAACACGATCTTCATCTATATCATAATAAACATTACACATTAATCTTGGAATATTTTAATAAACCTATTTGAAAAATAAAAGTGGTAAGACAAAAAATCAATTAAAGTTTTTACATGCAGCTAAACTAAAGGTTTGACTTACATAAACCAGGTGTGGCAGCTTTACTGACAAAGAAGATAGAGAAAGAAATGTGTTAGTGTGTTTCAATATGTATATATATATATATATATATATATATATATATATATATATATATATATATATATATATATATACACATATATATATACACATATATATATATAAAACGTTTACAAGCTAATAAATCTCAAAGTACGTGACTGGCGTGGTCGAAACGCCCACCATTACTTTCATTTAAATTGCAGTACAACATATGTGTGATCCAGGGCGTAAGGCAAAGTGGAATATAAAATAACGTTTTTAGCCCTGTTAACTTGCATTCATTTTTTGTTTTTGCCGGGGACCCATGGTGCAGAAGTGACTTAGACTCCCTATAGGGTATTCAATCCTGCCGTTTCTTGCCCTCTCTTCAAACTAACTTCTCTTCCCTGAAACAGGAGCATCAGAGCATTTTTACCCAAAGAGATGGACTTACAAGGCATTTATTTATACTAGAAACCACTGCAAATGTTCTAAAAAAACAAGTGAACTTGGTATCTCAGTAAACAATGGTAGAACTTGAGGTAAAGTACCACAACATCTCTGGAACAATTTCACACTAAAAAGAGAGAACACCATCTAAAAATGAAATGTCAAAACAAAATTTCATTAAGTCTCATGATGTGGAAGCTATTGTCACATCTACAAATGTCCCCATCAAAATAATGATATTAAATATGGAAACTATCTCTATAATCTAATAGAACAGTTCTGGGGTGAAGTTACTTAAAATGAAATCTGTTATATATTTTCAACTGTATGTCTGTGATGAGCAGCAACACAAAAAGATGATCAGGTCTGCTGTATCGTGTCACAACTTTGTGAAACATTAAAAACCAGGATTAACATGTCTGTCATATTTACAACCTAAAACTAACTTCAGGGTGGTTTTATTTTGCTTTTCATGGTGGCGACACTGATGTAGATGTTTCAAAATCAAAAAGTTTAGGGACACTAAAGAAAGTGATGTTTTAAAATATGCTGCTCATCTGAGACGTTAAATAGATGTATAGTGGTGAATATCTGGAAAAAATATTCAGTCTGCCTAAAAATGGTTCAACTGCCACCTGTTAGATTTTTAGGGATTTGAGATTTTTCAAACTTAATTCAAATTTCTGCAGTTGTCAGTAAGTAAAAGTTATTTATATAGCACTTATCAAGGAAAGAAAAATCAGTGTTTCACAGAGATCAACAAAACAACATGTAGTCATTAAATCATCCCAAGAACTAAATAAAATGTCATGAAATAATTGAAAGATAGTTAAAATCACAACATTTTTAACACTTTTAACATTTTAGACCCTTTGCAATCAGGGTTCCGTCCCGGTCACAGTACTGAGAATGCCCTTCTTAGAGTTTTTAATGATGTTCTGCGGTCCTGGACAACCCGCTCTACTTCCTGAGCTACTGAGGTCAGAAAGGGCCTTACTATAGATCAGGGATTCCCAAAGTGTGGTGCACCCACCCCCGGGGGTGCGCGAGCTGCCGCTAGGGGGTGCGCGAGGTGAAAAGTGTAATGGCTGCGGAGCTCAGAGAAGTCTGTCATATGTCACCATTAGCGTAGCCAGAAACTCATTTGTGGGTGGGCTTAAGAAAAAGTAAGTGGGCCCAATAAATGTAATTAAAAACAAGTATATTTTTGCGCACGTGTGTGTGTCCTCCGCATGTGCCCTAGCTTCATAATAACAATGCGCCGAGCTTCAGCGCTCTGGCCTGCGCACGCCGATATGTTCCGTATTTGATCATTTTTAACGGTGTTGGAGAAATCTGAAGGTGGCGAGTCATTCTGGCAGATTGTAATTAACACCCTGTCTCATGAGGTGTTCTGTCATTGTAAACCTCACACACAGAGCATTGTGGATGTAACAAAATGAATCAAGAAATGATTCCCATTCAGGCTATTAACAGCGCTGAAGATCTGAAGTTCAGAGTGCGTCTGTCAGAGGTCAGACGCGTTCCAGCGGAACCACGGCTCACGGGTGCAAATGTGAGCACATCAGGGCTGGGCAGAAGTAGTTTTACAACTTTGGTTTAAATAGCGCCAATAACGAGACGCGGTGACTGGAGCGGCTCATGTGCGCGCACGCGCACACACACACACACACATTCAATAAGAGCGCACGCTGCGTAAACTCCGGCGCGCCGCCAGACTGAAGACATGAGCACTGCCTCCTCTGTGATAAAAGCTTTTAAGAGGTTTTATAACATTTTTCATTCCAGGTCAAATTAAGATATTAGCTTCTATTTTGGGATGACGTATTAAAGCCGGGTCCGCTCCAGCCAGTGACTCAGAACCTGCCACAACTCCTTTTACTGCAGCATTTGTTATTCCAGTCCGCGTGGCAGCGGATCGCAGATTCAGCCACACCATAAAACAGCAATAAGTCGGTCAGAGGCAAAAGTGAACCTCATGGCTATATCGTTTCCATCATCTCCCCTATATACATTTGATTACGCACAAGTAGGTGATCAGCTCAGGTTTAAGCAGAGCAGAAGGAAGGAGAGCGCTCTGGCCGCACAGGTTAAACGTTCCTACTTTAAGAAAACTGTTAAATTGCATTGTTTATGTGCTACCTGGGCACTCTAAATATTTATTTAAAATTAAATCAAAGGAAATTGTAATGGTATCGAATGTTTTTAATTACTATTTAAAAAATGAAAGTGATGGGGAAAAAGGTCGATCATATTTTTTTAACCCTGTCTGTTTAGCTTGACCATATATAATATAGCCATGCCCTGATGTGGGGGCTGGGGGGTGCGTCGACATCGTCGGGACATAGAAGGGGGTGCGCGGCTAAATAAGTTTGGGAACCACTGCTATAGATGATCAGACATTTAGTCTTTTCAGAGTTTAACTGAAGGAAGTTATCTTCTAGCCAGCTGGTGACAGCTGATAGATTCAGACCGTATACAAAAGTCAGAATCCTTATATATATATATATATATATATATATACATATATACAGTGGGGCAAAAAAGTATTTAGTCAGCCACCGATTGTGCAAGTTCTCCCACCTAAAATGATGACAGAGGTCAGTAATTTTCATCATAGGTACACATCAACTGTGAGAGACAGAATGTGAAAAAAAAATCCATGACTTCACATGGCAGGATTTTTAAAGAATTTATTTGTAAATCAGGGTGGAAAATAAGTATTTGGTCAATAACAAAAATTCAACTCAATACTTTGTAACATAACCTTTGTTGGCAATAACAGAGGTCAAACGATTACTATAGGTCTTTACCAGGTTTGCACACACAGTAGCTGGTATTTTGGCCCATTCCTCCATGCAGATCTTCTCGAGAGCAGTGATGTTTTGGGGCTGTCGCCGAGCAACACGGACTTTCAACTCCCTCCACAGATTTTCTATGGGGTTGAGGTCTGGAGACTGGCTAGGCCACTCCAGGACTTTCAAATGCTTCTTACGGAGCCACTCCTTTGTTGCCCGGGCGGTGTGTTTGGGATCATTGTCGTGTTGGAAGACCCAGCCACGTTTCATCTTCAAAGCTCTCACTGATGGAAGGAGGTTTTGGCTCAGAATCTCACAATACATGGCCCCATTCATTCTGTCCTTAACACGGATCAGTTGTCCTGTCCCCGTAGCAGAAAAACAGCCCCAAAGCATGATGTTCCCACCTCCATGCTTCACAGTAGGTATGGTGTTCTTGGGATGCAACTCAGTATTCTTCTTCCTCCAAACACGACGAGTTGAGTTTATACCAAAAAGTTCTACTTTGGTTTCATCTGACCACATGACATTCTCCCAATCCTCTGCTGTATCATCCATGTGCTCTCTGGCAAACTTCAGACGGGACTGGACATGCACTGGCTTCAGCAGCGGAACACGTCTGGCACTGCAGGATTTGATTCCCTGCCGTTGTAGTGTGTTACTGATGGTGACCTTTGTTACTGTGGTCCCAGCTCTCTGCAGGTCATTCACCAGGTCCCCCCGTGTGGTTCTGGGATTCTTGCTCACCGTTCTCATGATCATTTTGACCCCACGGAATGAGATCTTGCGTGGAGCCCCAGATCGAGGGAGATTATCAGTGGTCTTGTATGTCTTCCATTTTCTGATAATTGCTCCCACAGTTGATTTTTTTCACACCAAGCTGCTTGCCTATTGTAGATTCACTCTTCCCAGTCTTGTGCAGGTCTACAATTCTTTTCCTGGTGTCCTTCGAAAGCTCTTTGGTCTTGGCCATAGTGGAGTTTGGAGTCTGACTGTTTGAGGCTGTGGACAGGTGTCTTTTATACAGATAATGAGTTCAAACAGGTGCCATTAATACAGGTAACGAGTGGAGGACAGAGAAGCTTCTTAAAGAAGACGTTACAGGTCTGTGAGAGCCAGAGATTTTCCTTGTTTGAAGTGACCAAATACTTATTTTTCATCGCTGATTTACAAATAAATTCTTTAAAAATCCTGCCATGTGAATTCATGGATTTTTTTTTTCACATTCTGTCTCTCACAATTGAAGTGTACCTATGATGTAAATTACAGACCTCTGTCATCATTTTAAGTGGGAGAACTTGCACAATCGGTGGCTGACTAAATACTTTTTTGCCCCACTGTATATATATATATATATATATATATATATATATATATATATATATATATATATATATATATATATATATATATATACATGTGTGTGTGTACGATTAAGTTCATACACCTGTAACTTCTGTTAGAAAGGTACGATCTAAACCAGTCTAGGACAGTTACAGAGATCCTCACATGGTTCTGAACAGTGTCAAAAACTGCAGAAAGATTCAACAATACTAAGACTGTGAATGCCCGGTTGTCTGCAGCCACCATGATATCCTCAGAATTTTTCACCATCTCATTCAAAGATGTTATAAGCTCTTTAAAATGCTGCCTATGAACCTCTAACCTAGTTGATTTCACCTTTCATCTTTGCGGCATGTCTTTCTGAAGCTGTAAATATTTGACCCAAAGACAGTTTCTTCTGTGACACCTGACGCTTTGACAGAACCACAGTAAATAAGATACATGAGGCTGATGGATAAAAGAGTTTGGGTCCTCACCATGAACTTAGCTGTTGTCATAATGCAGAAAATCTGTCCACTGCTGACGTATTAACCCTCTGGAGGCAGACGATGCAGATTTGCAGCAGTTAAAACTAGGGCCCCACCGATATATCGGCCGGCCGATATTATCGGCCGATATTAAGGTCATTAACACTATCGGCTATCGGCCAAAAAGACGGCCGATATTGCGTTACCTATCCCGCAGATGGTGCCAGCTTTATGAATAAGTTTTGTGAATAGGTTCACCAAGTTTACTTCCAAAGAGTGTTACTTTGTTACAAAGCACAAGCATTACATTTTATTTATTGCTACATTTTTATTATTTTATTATTCTTATAAGGATCTTCTGTCCCTAAACTTGTGCGTGTTGTTAGATTCCCCAGAGTTAGCTAAGTCAGAAAAAACATTTTGTAACCAGTTGTTTTAGCATAAAGCAATGGAAGGGAAGGCTTGCATTCACCTACATAAAAAACACTACAGTATATGTGAATTCACTTACATTGTTTTATGCTAAACTAAGAAAACCACCTGCTGCCAGATCATATTGGGCTGGTTATAAAATACTTTTTCTGACTTGTCTAACTCTGGGGAATCTTAACTAGACACAGTTTGACTGAGTGGTGGAATATTCCTTTAAGTTAAAATATATTTGTGGAAACCACAGTTTACAAGAAAAAACTTGAATGATAGATTTATGCTGTGACTGAGTTTGTTTGTTCTGTTGTTTTTGAGATCTGCTAAATAAATCTCATTTGCATTACTTGGAAACCCTAGTGAGTTATTGAGACAGTTCTTTGGTGTGTAATAGAGAAATAAGTTTGCATCAAATAGGCAGAGAATGAAGGGTTTAAGCTTAAGAAAATTTTTATTTTTATTTCTTTTTTTTGTGAGGGAGATTTATCGGCCGTTTTATCGGCCTTTTGTTAAAAGTTTTATATCTGTATCGGTCCCAAAAAAAGCATATCGGTCGGCCCTAGTTAAAACCTACCTACCTGGTGTCATGTTCTGTGTCCCCTTGGTCCCCAGCCCCCTCCTGTTTGTCCTCTGTGTTCTCCTCATGTTCCTCCTGGTGTTTTCCAGCCTCTCAGGTCCCCCCTAGTCACCCCTCTGTAGTTTTATTTTCTATAGGTTCAGCTTTTCATTTTATTTGTTCCCTTTAGTGTTTGTGTCCTTCCCCACTTGTTAATTGGTCTTCTTTAGTCCTCTTGTCCTTAGTTGTTTATCTTGGCCCTTAGTTTCTAGGTTTAGTTATGTAGTGTTTTTATAGGTTATGTTATCTTCCCCTCTGCTTGGTTTTCCCTTCCCATGTAGGTAATTGATTTCACCTGTCACCTGTTCCGCTGATTGCTTCCCTCTGTGTTAAAAACCTGGCTTGTCCTTCAGTGTTTGTTGGGTCATTGTATGTGTCAGCGTTGTTCTGTCTCTCTCGAGTTTCTCCTAGTCCGTGCTCATGAGTGAGCTTCTGTTTTGTTTTTGAGCGTTCAGTGTGTTTTTGAGATTTAGGCCTAGTCCACACGTAGCCGGGGTTTTTTTAAAAACGAATATCCGCCCCTCCAAAAACTTGCATCCACACCACCGTGTTTTAATAAAAAACTCTGTCCACACGTACCCGGATAAATACGTTGTTAAGGACATGCCAGACCTGTAGGCGGCAGTACTTCCCCCGTTCTTAACCTCGTCCTTCGTCTGTGGTCTTCCGCAAGGAGCAGTAATTCCGCTTGCAAAAACAAACAAGCAAAAAGCGCTTGGACAATTGATAAAGCGAGCGCAGCTCTGAGGGCATCCATGCTGTCGGCTAGTGTAAACACAGGTCGCACACGTGATGTCAGCATTTTTTTGTCGCAGAAAGTGACGTTGCGGACCTTAAAACTCCGGTTTTGTCCGTCCACACGCAGACACCCAAAACGGAGAAAACGCAGATCTTCACTTTGGCCCTGTCCACACGTAGCCGGGGATCTGCCAAAACGTAGATATTTTTCTACGTTTTGGCCTGTCATCCACACGAAAACGGAGTTTTTTCACACGAAAACGGATCTTTTTAAAAACTCCGGCCAAAGTGAAGATCTGCGTTTTCTCCGTTTTGGGTGTCTGCGTGTGGACAGACAAAACCGGAGTTTTAAGGTCATCAGCGTCACTTTCCGCGACAAAAAAATGCTGACATCACGTGTGCGACCTGTGTTTACACTAGCCGGCATCACGGAAGCCTTCAGAGCTGCGCTCTGTCACTACCCGATCCATCAATTGTCCAAGCGCTTTCTGCTTGTTTGTTTTTGCAAGAGGAATTACTGCTCCTTGCGGAAGACCACAGACGAAGGACGAGGTTAAGAACGGAGGAAGTACTGCCGCCTACAGGTCTGGCATGTCCTTAACAACGTATTTATCCGGGTACGTGTGGACAGAGTCTGTTTTTAAAACGCGGTGGTGTGGATGCAAGTTTTTGGAGGGGCGGATATTCGTTTTTAAAAAACCCCGGCTACGTGTGGACTGGGCCTTAGTCTGGCTCTTGTGTTTTTCGACTTTTGGCGCATCCTCCTTAAAATAAAGGAATTTATTTTCTTTAACCACTCCTGCCTCGAGTCGTTCTGGGGATTCTGCATCTTGGGTCCAAACCTCCCTCTCCTAAACGTGACAGAATGACCCAACCAGCCAGGACCCAGCAGACGACCCAGATGTACCGTTATTATGGTGAGCCTGAGAACTGTTGGACGTTTATCCAGGATGTTGCCAGCTGTGTGGACTTGAACTCATCTGAGTTTAATAAGGTTTCATACCTGGTGCTCTGCCTCCCTCTCCTAAACGTGACACCTGGTTACTCCACATACATATTTCATGAGCATTTTTTAACTCAGAAGTACCCCTGAAAGACTTAGTTGTTCGTCCTTTTATCAAAACTTATTTGGAGCCTGAGAGGGTTAATGATGCATGAGAAGTTTTGTTAACAAACCTTCGTCCCTTCTGAAATCTCTTCTTTCTTTGGTTGGGGGTGAACTGGAGCTCCCAGAGAAAACCCCCTATGCCACACAAGGAGACACAGTAATGATTTGGATAAGTGTTTTCTGTGACATAATCCTTGCGTTGCTTTTTTTTCCCCCAAAGATGAGGACATGTGGTAATGTGTGTCAGGGAAGGGACATGGTTTTTAGTCACCCTTGATGGAATTGCTTTGTCATGACTCGAGGTAAGTGTCCAACCCAGGACATGCAGAATCAATACTCGTCGGGCAGATTGAGTAAAAGTAAAGTTCTTTATTATTAAAAGGGAACAAAAATAGCACAGGGAAGTCCTGTGGGAGTGAGCGGTGCAGCTCGAGTCCAAGTAGCGCTCGGGATGAATGAGGGAGGCGGGGGAGCCGAGGTGAGCGCTGGGCAGAGGGTGAGCGATCCGGGATGGGTGAGGTCGCAGAGAGGGGCCAACAGGAACAACGGAGGAGGATGGGACATGGTGTATGAGTCCAGAGTACAAAAACAGCGAGAGGGAAGCAGGTTGAGTGCGGATCCTGAAGGAAGGGAAACAAACACCAGGCGTAAGGGATAATCCAAAAACAGTCCGAGGTCAAAATCCAAGTATCCAATAACGAGACAAAGCGAGCAAACAAGAACGAGTACAAAGGGCTGGGGCTACCTAAACTGGTGCAATCATCCGGCGTAATGAGGTGTCTCCATCCTCCTTTTAAACCCGAGTTCCTGATTGGGATCTCCTGCAGCTGCCCCCCCCCCCCCTCCCCCCCCTCCGCTCCTCACCTGAGGGAAATCAGCTCAATCACAGTTAGAGTGGAGATGGTGTCACTCACCTCGGCTCGGGAACATGACATGCTTTTTTTGTACTTCATCTACAACCTAACAAACTAATGATTTATCTATTGACTAACGAACTAAAAAACTAAGAAGTCATAGCCGACCTTTCCAAGCTTAATGCTTTCACCACATTTGAGTAAACTGCTGAATAATTGTAGCTCTACAGTGAAAAATGTACGGAAGAGTCATATAAACTGAAACAGAAAGCTAACTAACTAACTAACTAACTAACTGACTAACTAACAACTAAATAACAACTAACTGACTAACTGACTAACTAACAACTAAATAACAACTAACTAACTAACTGACTGACTAACAACTAAATAACAACTAACTAACTAACTAAGTAACTAACTAACAACTAACTAAAAGAAACATCTTCAAAATAGAAGGAAGTTCAGGCTTTTTTCCCCTATAAAATGGGTTTCCACTTTACGTTCTTGGTGATTGGCTCAATAGGTTTCCCTCTAATTGGACGTAGAACGGTCCGTCTTGGTTTGGGGTTGAGACCAGATGGTGTGTGTGGTTCCTTCCTCAGTGGACTCCTTTAAAAAGCAGCTGAAGACCCACTTGTTCAAGCTGGCTTTTGTATGACCTTCTTCACCACTCTCCCTTTATTCTGCTCTCCCCACCTATTCCACCTTCCTCAGGATCCACTGATTTCCCTCTTTCCTGTTCACTCTCTCTCTTTCTTAACATTTTTTAATCACAATTGCCTATTTTTGCTAATTTAAAATATATTTTTAAACATTTTCTAAATGCTTTTTTATATTTTTACATTTTTTGATTTTGTGAAGCGCCTCGTGATTTTTATCTTGAGAGGCGCTCTAATAGAAATGTAACTTTCTTCTTCTTCTCAACATCCTCAGAACCAGCCTCCACCTTTTTCAAAGATGAAATTAACTCCTTCTCCTTTCCAATTTTCTTTGGAGAAGTGTCCATCTTTTTTGCTTCAGCCCCCAGTTCATTTGTAGATTTCGTGCTTTTGGCTTCCTTGGGAGATGTTTCATTCCTATAGTCACCATCGGAGCCTGGCAACAATCTGTCTTAAATGATATTGTCAGAACAACCAAATTCCTCCAACAATGAATCCAAGACCTCTGCCATTGCTCGACCTTTGGGAGACTTTTTCACTGATGAAATAAACTCTTTCTCCTTTTCAGTTTTCCTTGGAGAAGTGTCCTTCTTTTTTGCTTCAGCCCCCAGTTCATTTGTAGATTTAGTATATTTTTGTGCCCTGGAAGATTTGACATTCCCAAAGCTATTTTCAAATTCATCTGTAGGAACTGGTAGAACGTTTTGGGAGAGTCCAGTATGTCTGCTTCTCACTGGAGGTAAAACGGTTTGTCGTTGTTTGGGGTTGAACCTGGATGGTGGGCTTTGTTCACTTATTTTGCTGGTTTCAGATGTTGTGGCTTGATTTTTCGGAGACCATCTCCCAGGTAAAGATAACTCAATATCCTTTTCAGTTTTCCTTGGAGAAGTGTCCATCTTTTTTGCTTCAGCCCCCAGTTCATTTGTAGATTTCGTGCTTTTGGCCTCCTTGGGAGATGTTTCATTCCTATAGCCACCATCGGAGCCTGGCAACAATCTGTCGTCAATGATATCATCAGACCAACCAAATTCCTTCAACCATAAATCCAAGAACTCGTCGTCAGACATATTCTCAGATGAAATTACCTCTTTCTCCTTTTCAGTTTTCATTGGAGAAGTGTCCATCTTTTTTGCTTCAGCCCCCAGTTCATTTGTAGATTTAGTATATTTTTGTGCCCTGGAAGATTTGACATTCCCAAAGCTATTTTCAAATTCATCTGTAGGAACTGGTAGAACGTTTTGGGGGAGTCCAGTATGTCTGCTTCTCACTGGAGGTAAAACGGTTTGTCGTTGTTTGGGGTTGAACCTGGATGGTGGGCTTTGTTCACTTATTTTGCTGGTTTCAGATGTTGTGGCTTGATTTTTCGGAGACCATCTCCCAGGTAAAGATAACTCAATATCCTTTTCAGTTTTCCTTGGAGAAGTGTCCATCTTTTTTGCTTCAGCCCCCAGTTCATTTGTAGATTTCGTGCTTTTGCCTTCCTTGGGAGATGTTTCATTCCTATAGCCACCATCGGAGCCTGGCAACAATCTGTCGTCAATGATATCGTCAGACCAACCAAATTCCTTCAACCATAAATCCAAGAACTCGTCGTCAGACATATTCTCAGATGAAATTACCTCTTTCTCCTTTTCAGTTTTCATTGGAGAATTGTCCATCTTTTTTGCTTCAGCCCCCAGTTCATTTGTAGATTTTATATATGTGTGTGCCCTGGAAGAGTTTTCATTCCCAAAGCTATTTTCAAATTCATCTGTAGGAACTGGTAGAACATTTTGGGAGAGTCCAGTATGTCTGCTTCTCACTGGAGGTAAAACGGTTTGTCGTTGTTTGGGGTTGAACCTGGATGGTGGGCTTTGTTCACTTATTTTGCTGGTTTCAGATGTTTTGGCTTGATTTTTCGGAGACCATCTCCCAGGTAAAAATAACTCAATATCCTTTTCAGTTTTCCTTGGAGAAGTGTCCGTCTTTTTTGCTTCAGCCCCCAGTTCATTTGTAGATTTCGTGCTTTTGGCTTCCTTGGGAGATGTTTCATTCCTATAGCCACCATCGGAGCCTGGCAACAATCTGTCTTCAATGATATCGTCAGAACAACCAAATTCCTCCAACAATGAATCCAAGACCTCTGCCATTGCTCGACCTTTGGGAGACTTTTTCACTGATGAAATAAACTCTTTCTCCTTTTCAGTTTTCCTTGGAGAAGTGTCCTTCTTTTTTGCTTCAGCCCCCAGTTCATTTGTAGATTTAGTATATTTTTGTGCCCTGGAAGATTTGACATTCCCAAAGCTATTTTCAAATTCATCTGTAGGAACTGGTAGAACGTTTTGGGGGAGTCCAGTATGTCTGCTTCTCACTGGAGGTAAAACGGTTTGTCGTTGTTTGGGATTGAACCTGGATGGTGGGCTTTGTTCACTTATTTTGCTGGTTTCAGATGTTGTGGCTTGATTTTTCGGAGACCATCTCCCAGGTAAAGATAACTCAATATCCTTTTCAGTTTTCCTTGGAGAAGTGTCCATCTTTTTTGCTTCAGCCCCCAGTTCATTTGTAGATTTCGTGCTTTTGGCCTCCTTGGGAGATGTTTCATTCCTATAGCAACCATCGGAGCCTGGCAACAATCTGTCGTCAATGATATCATCAGACCAACCAAATTCCTTCAACCATGAATCCAAGAACTCGCCGGGAGACGTTTTCTCAGATGAAATTACCTCTTTCTCCTTTTCAGTTTTCATTGGAGAAGTGTCCTTCTTTTTTGCTTCAGCCCCCAGTTCATTTGTAGATTTAGTATATTTTTGTGCCCTGGAAGATTTTTCATTCCCAAAGCTATTTTCAAATTCATCTGTAGGAACTGGTAGAACGTTTTGGGGGAGTCCAGTATGTCTGCTTCTCACTGGAGGTAAAACGGTTTGTCGTTGTTTGGGGTTGAACCTGGATGGTGGGCTTTGTTCACTTATTTTGCTGGTTTCAGATGTTTCGGCTTGATTTTCAGTTTTCCTTGGAGAAGTGTCCATCTTTACCACCTCAGGCCCCAATTTTTTTGGTATTTTGGAGCAACTGTCTTCTTTGGGATATATTTCATTGCAAACGCTCTTTTGAACGTCATCATCAGAGTCAGAAGACCATGGGTCTGTAAATATTTCTTCATTCTTTGATGTTTCCTGAATCCCTGCATGAAATTTAGGAGCCTTTTTTCCTGGCGAAAGCACTTCATTGTCCCCTCCATTCTCCTTTAGAGGCGCTTTTACCCTCTTCGGTTTGAGAGGCTTTGCCTTCAAAAATATCTCTTCAAATTTTCCCTCAGAGCCTGACTTCCCATCATCGGCGCTGAGTTGACTGATTTGTTTCCTGAGCTCCTCACATTCATTCTGTTGCTTGTCGTTTATTCTCTGAAGCTGTTTTTGCTTTTCCTTGCTAATCAGGAGCTCTTGAGTCAGTTCTTCCACCTTTTTCGGGAGTTCTTTGTCTGGCTCAAAATCTGGACTTTTTAAGTATTCCAGCTCATACTCTGCAGTTTTAATTGCGTCCTTCAGCTGGCTAATTTCCTTGATATATTTTGTAATTTCTTCTTGTGAAGCCAATTCCAGCTCCATTAGTTCCGTGTTGTGCCTTTGTTTCATCTCCTCGAGCTGAATACGCAGCTCATCTATAACCTTATTACTGGACTCCAGCTCTTGTTCTGCCTTCCTTAGGGCGGCGGCTTTCGCTGTTAATTTTTTGTGTAAATTCCTGCGAGAAACAAGGCCCTCCGATGTGTTATTTATATAAACTTTGATGTTTTCTAAGGCTGTTGATAACTGATTACTGACAGGTTCCTTCTTATTCAGTACGATTCCTGCATTATCAGAAACAGTTTCCACAAAACTCCTGACGTCTTTGTGAAGCTTCTTGTACTGCTCTTGTTTGTTTTCTAGCTTCACCTTTAACTGATCTAATTTTAACTGAAGTTCGGACGATTGAGAATCTTCTTTCAGCTTATTTTTTTCATTAAGAGACTGATGTATCTCATTTCTTCCCTCCAAATCATCTTGCTTGATCTGTTGCCCCTGCAGACATATCGTTTTCTGCAAGTGAGACTCTTGAATGTTTATCTCTTTCTGTTTTTGGTTACTGTCCCTAAGTGAGGAGACTATCTGCAATTGTTGGTTTATCTGTTTTAGCGACTCAGAAATTTTCTCTGCACTCATTTTCTCACGTTCAGCCTTTTCGATGTTTTGAGAAAGCCTATTAATCTTTTCATTGCACATCGAGCGCGTTTCCTTCAGCTCATAAACCTCCTTTAGAAGCGCTGCCTCAGATGTCTGCAACTCTTCAATTGTTGATTTGAAAGATTTGCATTCCTCTTCTCTGTGACTGTTTTCCAATTTTTTTCTCAGTTCCTGAATTAGTCTTTCATTCTCATCATTCTTTGTGGTCAGGTCTTTAATTTCAAACTCTAAACCTAAATTTCTCTCTTTTATATCACTCAATTCTGATAAAGGCACATAGACCATGGTGTCGTTTTGTTTGGAAACACTCATGTCGTCACCTTCTTTCACCAGGTCCCTTAGTTTCGCCTCTAGGTGACTTATCGAGCTGGTCAAGCCGTCTGTCTTACCATGTATGGTTTTAATTTTACCTTTCCACCCACTAAACTCATTAAAGGCAGCCTGGAGACCAAAGATTTCACATTTATAGTGCCTCAGTTTGATTAAAATGTCGTTAAACAACGTGTCTTTTTCATCTGCTATAACATCGACTCGTTTCCAGTCACTGGTCTTTGCAATTTCAAGCTCAGATTGCAGGCTTTGAATGTTCTGAACAAGTTCGCTAATGTAGTTTCTGTCAGCTATGCGCATCGACTCACTTTCCATAAGCTGATTTTGAGAAGCCTGAAACTGTTTTTCCAAATTAATACACTGTTGTCTCAGCTGGTATCCTTCAAGTGGAAGTCCTGTAGCCTTGCTAAAGTGCTCCTGTGTTTCTTCAAGTTTGCTTTTCAGTTTGTTATTTTCTTCTGTGAGAAGCATAATTTGCTCAAGCCTTGATGGGTCAAACGAGAGTTGCGCATATTTCTCAGCTCGCCGTCTCTGCTGTCTCGTCGTTGCTGCTCCTTGAATCATCCTGAGATAAGAAATTAAATTCTGTGGTGGGAGTGTGAAAACACGTAACTTGTCACAAAGTCAGATGCTGTCTGATCGAATCCCTCAGAGAAGTGAGTAATGCAGTGATGCAGCTAAGTGATTATGTCACTGGCCTTTGTGATGTCATATAAGCTAAGTTCCGTACAGTAGTAGTGGTGGTAGTAGTGGTAGTAGTAGTGTAGAAGCAGTAGTAGTGTTCTTGCTTCTACCCCTTTGATTGATTAATTAATTAATTAATTTAATAAGTAAATATATTTTTGTATTAATTAATTAATTAATTAATTAATTAATTAATTAATTACTTAATTAATTGCACTTATAATTAATTACACTTGCTTCTACCCCTTTAATAATTGCAGCAGTAAGCAGGGCTCTTGTTGCTATGCACCTGTGAGGGTTTTGACATTAATCACCTATATTTATCACCATTGTTGTTATTCTTCCGCAGACAACGCTGCTCGTACGGCTGTGTGCACCCCCACAAATTATATATCAAAACGAGCGGCTCGGCCACGGGAGGTGTGCTGTTACCTTTCTAAGCAGTTAGACTTAAAATGGTGAAATATTTAGCAAATAACTTTGAAAGGTTTCTAATTTTGATGCTGTGACAAATTTAAATTTGCATAATATTTGCACAATGATCAATTCAATGTGCACACAATTAAGGGGTAATTAGGTGGCAAGCCCTCTAAAGGAGCAGTTTTACACATGCATGAATAATATCATTATTTTTGTAACGGAATTTAAGTGATGTAACTATCTAAAGTTGTATTTTAATACACTGTAGGTAGTTCACTTTTTATAAACAGAAGAATAGGCTGTTTTTATCATCAGGGAGTTTAATTAAACACTCTGTATTGACTTTGAGACAAGAAAAGAGAGAGAGATGGGATCGTTTGAGAATCTTTAATTTCTGAATTATAAATTCTAAACAATCTACCAGGACTACTCTGTGATGGATGAGAATGGATTCGGATGTTGTGTTGGTGCGTGTGTGTGTGTGTGTGTGTGTGTCTGGTTCAGATTCTCTAGGCTGACGTAATCGAATCTGGTCGTCTTTGTTATGACTAGATATCACGAGGCTTATAAAGTGATGACATGAGCCGCTATTTTGCCGTGTACGTACCCAGTGGGGTCTCCCAAGTAGATCAGGAAATGCCAGGTCTGGAGACTTCGGATGTACGATGGAGCTGTCGGTGCAGCGATCACAACGTTTCAAAGCCCGTCTGGAGGGTCGACCCCGGTACCGTTCGGCGGCGTCAGCAGGTGCTCTTATTTTGAAAGGACGTCGTCTGGTTGTTAAACGACGAAAATCTCCCGCTTCACAGTTCTTAGTTTAAAGAAAACACATCTGGCTAGGCTGCGCTTTTCTTTAGGATGATGGTGAATAGAACTGAAGTCAAAATGGAACTGACTTAAAAATGGCGTTGCCTTGTTTTATATCTCTGAATTGTTGATAAGTTTCAGTAAAGTGGATTGGACACTTGAAGTCAACACCAGATTCTCCTGCGGCAGCCGAAAGCTCTGATTGGTTGGAACAATGTGTCATGCGTTTTATGGAGATGAGGATCAGTATGTCTGTGCCGTAGTCCGTAGTCCTGTTTTCATTAAACATAATTCATGACATATTTATTTCACAGATCATTCACTTGATTATTGTTGATCAACATCTGTTTTGCTTAATAATTTTAATCACAAATAAAGTACTTTGATTAAGTAAAGTTTCTTCTTCTCCTTCGGACTCTTCTCCTGGAATGTAAACAGTCTGAGGAACACCCGACCTTGGTTTTTCTACACGGTGTTATTGTGCACAGGGGGCAGCTGTATGGAGTTGAAAACAATGAACTTCATAACCTTACATTTTGTTATTTACCTTAATGTCACCCAAAAATCATTATTTTGGGGTTTTCACGCAAACATCACCTAAATATAATTTTTTTTGAGGTTTTTCAACCTAAATATCATTATTTTGGGTTGTTCACCCAACGTCAGCCAAAAATTTTTATTTGGCCTCTACAGCATGTGGCCAGTATCTTGACCTGTAATATTAATTTTTTGCGGAAGCTAATGTGGCTCGAACGGCAGAATGCACCCCACAAATTATACATCAAAACAAGTGTCGGCCATGGGACGTGTGCCATTACAGTAGGGGCAGCAGTAGCTCAACAGGTTGAGCAGGTTGTCCAGTAATCAGAAGGTTGCAGGTTCAATCCTGGCTCCGGACAGAGAATTCTGCTGTTGTGTCCTTGGGCAAGACACTTAACCCACCTTGGCTGCTGGTGGTGGTCAGAAGGACTGGTGGCGCCTGTGCTCTCTAGCCTTGCCTCTGTCAGTGCGCCCCAGGGCAGCTGTGGCTACATCACAGCTCATCATCATGAGTGTGTAAATGTGTGTGTGAATGGATGAATGATACACTGTAGTGTAAAGTGCTTTGGAGTCCTTACTCTGAGAGGCGCTATTCAAGTGCGGGTCATTTATCATTCATCATTACGTTTCTGAGCGTTTTGTTTTACCCTGGCTAAATTATTAGCTAAAAACCTAGAAAAAGTTTTCATTTGGAAAGTGTGCCACTCTAATTTTGCGTAAGATTTGCATAATTATCAGTTAAATATGCACTTAAATAATTAGATGGCAGGTCTTCTAACGACATGTTTTTACATTAGCATGAACACTATCTTGTACCAGCGGGAAAGTCCCTTCTAGTTCATTAAATATTTTTTTCGGCCACTTATCTGAATATTTTTTCATTACCTAGATAAATTGTTAGGCTTCCAGCACAAATTCAGTTTTTATTGTTGAAAATCTTAAAACAAATAAATTGTCATTTTTGAGCTTCTGTTTTGTAATTCATTAATTTTTCTTTTGTTTATTCATATTTTTTTATCCACAGATCAAAGCAAATAGAAGTAAAACACGTGATCATCGCCCTGCTGATGGGAAATGTATTGATTTGAATGTGTTGATGGGATCAAATCCTAGTGAGACAAAATTAACATCACAGACCTTTGGTCATTCAAATTTTGCACGAGTTTGCTTCCTTTCATCGCCTCCACACACCTTGTGCATCATGTCACAGAGGCCGCACGGCTCTACGCCACAGACGAGAGGGATGCTTGGCCGGATAAAAGTTAGAAACGTGATATTGACTGGACGGCACTCGTGGGGAAACAAAAACCGTGCTGTAATTATTGGCTTAGAGGGTATCAGAACTAAAGGGATTATCTTTCCACCTACTGCATTACTCATGCTTTAATTGAATATCTGCTTCCTCGAGGGATTCTTCTAGATAAAGAGAAAAGGGAATACAATGATGTGCTCTGAGGGCAGCAGCGAGTAAAGTCCATCCAGTCAAATTCACTTTCAAACAATGAGATTACTGCTGCAGCCATTTAATTAGACAAGCAGATCTAAAGGGTTCAGGGTGACTGGTTGCTTAAATCTGTTTACTAAGAACTGTTAGAAACGCCCCAGTGAGTGGATATCATCATGCTTTTTTTTACATATAATCTATTAATCTGTGTTTTGTGGCTGGAACAATGTGAGATCTTTATATTAGTTTATTATAGTGGCACAGGTGGTAGCACTGTTGCTTTGCAGTTGGAAAACTGCAAGTTTGAATCCCGGCTGCAGCCTTTCTGCATGGAGCAGCCTGTTCTCCTCGTGCATTTGTGGGTTTTCTCTGGCTTTCTCCCATGGATCAAAAACATGCATGTCAGGTTGACTGGAGACTTAATTGTCCGTAGGTCTGTGGGACAGGTTTGTTTGTGTGTTTCTGATGGACTGGAGACCGGTCTCGCATATCCCTCACCTCTTGCCCAATGACCACTGGAGATAGAAACCAGATCCCTGCAATCCTTTTGAAGAATAAACCATTTAGAAGACCAGTATTTTCATTTTGCTTTGATAATTTTGAATGTTCTTGTGTTCCTATAACAGAAGGTTTTGGACACGTCCAGAGGAGAGACAATGATGATGCCATCATTAAAGGTTAAATGATGCTGAGGTTGGAGCCACCAGAGGACGACCATAAAAGGAATTTCATTGATGTGAAAGAGGACGTGGCGTTAGTTGGTGCGACGGTGGAGGATGCAGAAGACAAGAATGCGTGGAAACACCTGAAGGGACACGCCCAAAGAAGAAGAAGAAGAAGAACTCATAAAGCAATGATTGAATCACAAGGTGAAAATATGCTATAGCAGGGCGGAATGAGTCCTGCATCGCCTCATGGCAACGATGAATGCGTCCACCAGAGCTTAATGGGGCCCCCTCTGTGCATGATCTGCTTATAAGGAGGGGCCGCGCTGCTTCGTCTGTTTTATACAGGAGTTAAACATTTCTACTTCTCACCTCATTTTCTCTAAGCTGAGGCTAACGGGAGATCTACAACCGATGAGATCACTGTTCCACCAAATTCCATCAAAAGATCCCAACTCTGAACTTAAACACTCTGATGAAAATCACATTCTTCAAAACAAGTTTTTTTATTGAATAACTTAATACAAGTTTACACAGGTTTAAAGTCAAAGGGGATTTTTTTATCCTACATAAAAACTGCACAAAACATTTCAAAAGCTTTGAGGTACTAAAGATGTAACGATCGATGCTCAAGTAGTTTTATCAGCACCAGCCGAAGTCATTTCATCTGTTTGATCAGGTCAAAGAAAACTGATTTTTCTTAATGCGTGTTTTATAATGTAACAGAAAAGGCACTTAAAAGACATATGCAAAAACATCATCGGCGTCACAGTGTCGGTAAACCCTTCTGAATCTTCAGGTGCTTTAAGTGTTCAGTCAAGTGAGGAGCTGCTACTTCTGGGGGTTTTCACACAGCAGACACCCGGGCTTGAGGTCAGCCTGCTGCTCCATCTGAATGGTGATGGAGTGGAAGTTGTAGGAGGAGAAGCAAGCCTGCGTCATTTCTCTCAGCACGGTCTGAGCATCCACCGAATCGTCTGGAAGAACAGATAAACACGAGCTTTTAGAAGTTATACGAGATGTTTTTTTAAATCAAAGACAAATAAAGCTTTTGCAGCACAAGGATGTGCTCTTATACTGAAAACATCACGTGGTGAAATGCTTTCCTCACCTACAGCTACATGTGCAGAGAGCACCGCCTGGTTCATGGTGAGGGCCCAGATGTGAAGGTTATGAACCGCTGTGACTCCCTTCACCGATAACAAACGATCCCTTACTTCACTGTACTTCACCCCCGACGGAGTGCCTGAGGTAAAACGAGTGAAGGATAAACTAAATGTATTATATTGCTTGTTTAAAAAGAAATAAAAACTGAATCTGTCATCTTTACCTTCCATCAGGACAAGAAGGATGTCTCTCAAGATGGTGAAGGTGGTGCACAAAACCAGTATGGAGAACAAGAACGTGCAGATCGGGTCGGCTATCTTATATTCTGGCTGGAAGGGAAATAACATTAAGCGCTACGAGTTCAACTTGTCGTTCTTTTTTAGGACAATGTTGCCATCTGTTTTCCAAATAAAAGAATCAATTGCTCCAGGGAAATCGAGCTGACAAATGTGGACAGCAAGCAAAAGGTTTGGGATCTGTACAAAAAAATAAAAGATAAAAAGCTTTTGATGTGGCAGCAGGGACTGCCTCAAGTAAAGATTCTTGAACATGTTTAGCAGGAAAGCACAGAAGAGTTTAAAAATTCAAATTTGCAAGCTGCAAATGTAAAAATGATTTATCCTGCAGATTTCAAATTGGACGTATTTTTATTTAGGTTCACTGAGGAGCGTGTACTTGATAAATATAATATTATCTTTTTCATTTTCAATCGGTGCAGACGAGTTTCACGTGCATGCATGGCGTCAAAATAGTTTTCAGCTCCTATTTCCTGCACTAGCCGCCAAAAGAAAACAGACAGGGAAAACGATCACGTCTGAAAAAGACACAAAAATCTGAATTTTTGCATTAATCACGCATCTTGGCTCACCAGCGAAGGCGCTGTTGATTTAACAGCCAGGAGAGAGCAGAGTGAGTCACGGCTAATAGAACCTAATTGTTAGCAGCTAACTGTTAGCAATAGGGAGCCTGAGTCTCCTCCCTTTCCGGTTGGCTCATGGATCCCTGGAAAAATGAAAACATTAATGCAAGTCAACGGGGCTAAAACCGCCATTTTCTAATCCGCTTTGCCTTACGCCCTGGATCACACATGTGTTTCGACCACGCCAGTCACGTACTTTGAGATTTATTAGCTTGTAAAAGTTCGTAATTAGCATGACTACACACCAGAAATCAGCACGTCACCACATAATCTCCTCTCCCCTAACGTAGCTGCTACTTACCAAATGACCAGATTTATGGTGGTTCTTTCCTCCTGTGGGAAGTTTCCAGAACTTACAGCCCTTTTCCCTCAGTTTTCTCCGTGTCTGGTTCGATGACATCACTTTCGTGAAGCACTTTTGTAGTCCTGGACTTATTTTTACACAGAACCTAAAATATCACACACACACACCCCCCCCACCACCACCACCACCACCCCCGTTCGTAAGTAAGCGCGTTCTTGGTTTCAAAATGCATCTTTAAAATTCACGGACATCATATGTGAAATCCATGGCACAAAACAAGCGGGATTAGAAAATAGCGCTTTTGTCCTCATTGACTTACATTCATTTTTTCGTTCTTCCGGGGACCCGTGGTCTGGGAATAGATGGACGTGACTTAGGCTCCCTAATGCAACAAATTCAGGCGTGTGTTTTTTGTGCAGATAACACGTCAGCATTGCATTTTTTACCTAAAAAGTAGAGTGAACGAAGGCAGCGGAAGAGTCAAACTGCTGTTAGCCAATAAGAGGTGAGACATTTGGATATCATAAATATTAATGAGTAAGACTGCCCCCCACTTCTACGACTAACTTCTGCTTCCTGAAACAGGAGCGCCAGAGCTTTTTTTTCCACATTAAACAACTCACAAGGCATTCATTCATTCATACTAGAGACCTACATGCAAGCGTACGTCCTCTTTAACAAGTTATTCACTCTGTCTCCAGCTAGACTCTTTACCTTAAAGAAGATGATGATGGCGCTGATGAGCACGCTGACACTTTGGAGAAGGTCCCCCATCACATGCACAAAAGCTGCTCGCACACTTGCGTTAGCCTGCTGTGTGCTTTTCCCTGACATTAAGATCAATCAATCAGATTTTATTCATGAAGTGTGATTCAAAGTGCTTTACGGAATTAAAATGACCCCAAATTCCCATAACTGTTTAATAAATAAAATAAATAATGAAATAAAAAAAACATTAATAATATTAGGCAAAGGTGGGACTTTTGAATGTAAAATCATTCAAATGATTTAAAAAAGAACAAACCATGAACTGCCTGATTTAGCTCCAAGTCTATACCCTCGTTATTCGAGTGGACGCCGTTTGACAACTGATTCTTCTTTTTCGCCGTTTCGGGAGCATGACTGTGTCCGTGTGAACCGAGCCCACCGTGGCTGTGACCGTGGCCCGACTGGTGAAGCGTAACGGCCATTCTGAGGAAAAACCAGAGCAGGCGTGACATTTAGACAACAAAAGAATTAAGAAGCGTTAAATCAAGAAGCATCTTCAAAGATTTCCCTGTGCCCTGATAAAAAAAATTTCTGTGAAAGATAAATGCTTATGCGTTTTCCTCACACAATATTGGCCACCACTGCACAACCCGAAGTAACGAGCATAATGTAGCCCTCGATGGTGTAGTCGTCGTCGATGAGGCGCTCCACGGCTAAATAAACCAGCACTCCAGTGACCAGCCAGATGGTGAAAACTGACAGCAGAGCACCCAGGATTTCTGAATAAACAAAAAACAGAGATGTCAAGAGCAGGTCTAGCAGCAATAGTCTGAATTTCAACAATTTAATAACTGGGTTAAGCAGAATGTTGGCTCCTGTCAGGGGCGGCTCTAGGACAGTGCAGAGAGGGCCAGTGCCCATCTGACAGCTCGCTTGGACCTCCTTTTGGTTCCCCTGCTGAGGGCGGAGCCTAAACATTAATAAGTACTGATTTTTTTTCCCCAATAATTACACCAAATGCGACATGTGGAACTGAAGCATGTAAAAATCTTTATACGAAGTTGATGAGATAAATAATTATCACTGAGATAGATAGCTAAGATAAAGTATTTGTTTGCAAATTAGTGACATGTTGACGGTTAACTAAACCTTATTGTGTCAAAGCAACTGTAACCTCTGTTTTTCACAGAATGTGTAATCAATGCATAACTTCAGCAGACCTTAACAGGCAGCTAATAGTGAACAGGTGTGTTAAATGACCTGTATAGGGCCTTCTTGGTTCTACAACCACCCAAGGTGCTTCACAACACAATCAGTCATCCACCCATTCACACACACACATTCACACACTGGTGATGAGTAGTTACAACATAGCTACAGCTGCCCTGGGGCACACTGACTGAGGCGAGGCTGCCATCATGCACTGGCGCCACCGGTCCCTCCAACTACCATCAGCAGGCAAGATGGGTTAAGTGTCTAGCCCAAGGACACAACAGCAGCATTCTCTGGCTGGACAACCCGCGCTATCTCCTGAGCTACTGCTGCCTTGTGTTTCTACCTGGTGCATCCCAGAAGAGTAGTGTTGCATCATTTCACGCTCAAAGCCAATGTTTGTATCATTAGTGTCTCACAAACGCGTTTTCTTAACAGATAATGGGCCCAGACCCCTCACCCCACAGTTAGTCTAGGACCGCCACTGGCTTCAGTGATACTAAAGTGCACAAAACAAAAATGAGCTACCGGTACCTGCACGGTGCCAGCCATAGCTAAACTTTTGTGTGGCCGGTTTAGAAGAGAGCCAGAGAGAAAACAGGCTGATGATGAAGCTGGTGAGGTCCGTCAGCAGGTGAGCAGCGTCTGTCATCACGGCAAGGCTTCCTGCCAAATAACCACCTACAAAACAAAAACATTAAGACTTCATTTTTTCAATTAACAGCTACAAAACTCATCCCTCGAATGAGATTTTACAGTTGAGGCTGCAGATTTGCAACAAGATTGTTGGAATGAACTGCTGGAGGGGGGGGGGACAAATGAATGGGGTGTGAAATTTGTAGTTTCCCAAGACGTACAAAATCAAGAAGAGGACTTCAAAGATGGAAGGAAAAAAAGAAACTGTGGGACTTACCAACAATTTCACCGACCATAAAAATCAGACAGATGACAGAAACCACGTACAACCTCCTTTTGGCCACTTTTTTCTCCGTCTCTCGTTGCTCTTGTGCACGGCTGTTGTCATGACAATGACTGGCTTCTTTCTGTAACTCCTCATAGTTTGGCACACTGTTGCAAAAAATAACAAATAAAAGAAATACTCAGAATTCAAATATCAACTTGTTAAAAAAATAATAAAAAGCAATTGAAAGGTAGAATGTTAATTATAAGGTGAGAACTCAAATTGAAGACAAGTAAGTTAAATGTACTCAACTCTGACTTTATTGTTTCTCGTGTTAAATTAAGGCTCAGGGGCGTGTCCAGGGAGTGGCCTGGGTTAGCACATGCCACCCTTGGAATCTGATTGGCCACCCCAGGTGCCACCACACTAATTTCCCTTTAAATAGGCTTTTCATTGTCTACAAAAGGCTTGAGGGTAAAACAAAAAAAGCATAACCATTGGTGCCACCCATGCACAAAGTTGTGCCTCACCTGGGCCACCCCATTTTAATAGATCTAGACACGCCCCTGTTAAGGCTTAATGCTACAGGTTGCAGTTTATGATCATAAATGTCCAAAAAACAGAAGAAAAATCCTCAAAAAGGCAACTAATTTATCAAAAATCCTTTAAATAATCACGACAGACCTTAATTTACTATAAAGGCTTTCTGCTTGGAGGGAGGAGTCCTATTTTGTCCAAAACTTTACCAAGAAAAAAAAGTTTATGTGAATCGTTGACAAACAAAAACAACTAGATTTTAGGCAAGCATCGTGTCTGATTTCAGCCCAGTGGCTAATCAGACAATTAGCTGAATCAAACCCACATTTGCACTCAGTTAATCCCATCAGATCCCAGATCAGTTCCGTGTGGAAAACCAGTAAGTCACGCATTAAACGGAGGCAGTGTAGCAAAGAGAAAACATAAATCTTAAAATGTTACTTCTTCCAAGCTACTATTTGCTGCGGGTTAAAACAAAAATAACATTTAAGGTCTCTTACCTTCCTGGCGTGCTGTAAGCCTTGTTTGCTTTTGTCACCAAGTGCATTTTCTCTGGATTCTTGCTTTTGAACATCACTGATGTCTTCAGAAATATCAAATATGACAAAAAGTTGAAAAAAGATCTTCAAGTTCAGAAGGTGTCTAATTAAAACAATAAAATAAATCCTAGCATAAGGGTTCCTTTAATTTCCGCGTCATCCAGCTTCGTTTGCCTGCACTACTGAAGTGATGGATGCAGATCTGTGCACCCATCCTTACAGATGGTGGGCGCACATGATGCCGCCTTGTGACCGTGCGCACCGTGCGCAAATTTGGTGGAGCGGAGCGGACCGGTGTGTGACGCACTGATTAGTGAACAAAAAAATGAACCGAGGAATTGCTCAGTAACAGATAAAACGATGGATGATTCGGTTTCTAAACTTTTTTTTATGTTTGACGCTCTGCGGGGTTCGAGCAGAGCGTCCCCCAACACCCAACCCCCCCCCCCCCCCCCCCCCCCCCCCCCCCCCGACCCGAACCGGGAGACCCGCGCAGCTCCATGAGGCCGAGGCAGCCGGCACTCTCGGATTGCGCAATGCGCTGGAAGTGCCGTGTGCGCCAGTTCCTCGTGTGTTTTAATCACATGCGTTCATCTGGGATTTTACCGAGACTTAGGGAAAACAAAATTGTCATTTGTGTTTAATTTTTTTTTCATGATCAGATCTGAACCACATTTTCACACTAAGAGCGTGCAGGAAGTTTGCGGGAGACAACAGTGTTGATAAGAACCAAAACAAAAGCCATAAAAGAGTTTTAGGAGTGTGTCACCTCCCCTCTCATGATTTCTGCTCTTTACCAGTACACCATAACTGAAGATGGACGACCTTTGACCTTAAACAGGCTGGAAACCTCTCCAATAGGGCTGAATTAAAATAAAAGCGCAAACAAAGTGGGTCAAAGTTCTTCCACAGAGATGCCAGAGACTGATATCACAAATGCTTGATTACATCTAAGAGTGCTACATCCAGTTTTTACGGTTACTCTTCTATAAAATCATCATTTGAAAACTATATTTCATATTTTTATGTCTGAAATTAGTTTTCTCATCAGAAACATCAAAATCTGACTAATGAAGCAAAAACAGAAGAAAGCCTTACACCCTCACTGCTGAAAACCTGAGCAACATCTGATCAGTGGATTTAGTTTCCTCTGAACTGTGTCTTAACAGCTTATTCACAGACTGTCTAAGTTAGGAGTAAATTTTTAAATATTTGAATCAACTTCAATAAACGTTAATCTGTTCCACTTCCTGTGTTTTCCTTAAAAGTGTTGCATGTTTAAAAACTTTATGTTATACCTAAAATGCTCACAAGGTGGAGATAATGAATCATACAAAATAACCACTGCAGTTTTAATCAACTTGCATTTTTTCTGATACTTGCAATAGATACAGAAATAAACACAAAGACATTATACAGGAGTGTTGTAAAATCATTTATTCTGTCATACAGATCCTGTTATATTTTTATTTTTCAGAGCATGTTACAACGTACTCAATAAGTGAGACATCACTGAACTAACAACAAATGTGTGCATGAAAACAGAAGGAACCTGATTGCTGGACTTTGGCGAGGACATCTGATGATTACTTTCAATGCAAATGAATGAGTGATCTAAAATATTCCCATCTTGATGGAATTAGTTTCTTTCCCAAAAAGAATTGTCTCCATGGTGTTTAATGTGTCATAAAATTGTTGGATGAGCTCTAAAAGCACATTTCACACATCAAAAATCCTTGTTTTTGTCTTCAATGTGTTCATTTTTTGACAATTATACATTAAAAGACTACTGAAAACTACTGCAGATGCAGCATACAATATCATGGTATCGTAAGAAAAATGTAGCTGTAATGTCCAGTAATGGTCAGTTTCATGTACAGTTTGACCCCTTCTGTATCTGGTTAACATGAGACAGGAGTCTGCATGCAAGGGCGTAGGAACGAGTTTAATATTGGGGGGGGGGGGGGGGGGACATTTTGGAAATCTAACAAATCTGTTGTCAATATATACCGTAGGTCAACTTCACTGAAAAAAATACATTAAATGATTATTTCTGATTCTAACGTGTCACTGAGTGTTTCATGCAGGCTGAACATGAACATAGTCTCCTGCCACTATCTGCTGCAGTAGCTTCTGATAGAAAATCTGATAGACGGTGAAACTCTAGGATTAGAAAAGTCTGACAGATGTGACTCAGGGCGTAAGGCAAAGCCCAGAAAGACAAGAAAATAACTTTTATAGCCCAGTTCACTAACATTCTGTTTTTTTTTTTTTTTTATCGGGGACCCATGAGCCAGCCAGAAGGGGAGGAGACTTAGGCTCCTTTTGACACTGTAGACCACAAGGTTCTACTAAACAGGTTAAAGGCCCTGGCTGGGATTTCAGGTTCTGCTCTAGACTGGCTCTCTTCTTATCTCACCAACAGAACATTCACAGTGAAGTCCGAAACCTTCTCTTCAGATACTGCCTCTCTAACATGCGGGGTCCCACAAGGTTCAGTTCTAGGGCCTCTACTATTCGCATTCTATATTCTTCCCCTAGCTGGCATCATTCAGTCTTTCCCAGACATCTCCTACCACATCTACGCTGATGATATTCAGCTCTATATGTCCTTTATGCCACACTGGTTGGACAGGCTGGCCACACTTGTACTCTGCCTGACCCAGATCAGTAACTGGCTGTCCAGCAACTTTCCTGTCCTCAATGCTAACAAGACAGAGACCCTGATCGCTTCACCCCCGGAACTTCAGCCAAAAATCGAGTAAGAAATTGCCTCTTTTTGCCCATCAGCCAAGGCCAACATTAGAAACCTGGGAGTTATTTTTGATCCAGCTATAAGTTTAGACTCACACGTCAAAACCATCTCCCGCTCTTGTTTCTTTCAACTGAGAAACATTTCAAAAGTCCGTAAACTGGTTTCTACTGCAGATCTGGAAAAAATCATCCATGCCTTTGTGTCATCACGCTTAGACCACTGTAACGCTCTTTTTACTGGTCTCAGCAAAACCTCCCTCTCACGCCTTCAAGCCATCCAAAATGCAGCAGCCAGACTCCTAACCAAATCCAGCAGACGAGCTCACATCACCCCAGTTTTACAGTCCCTCCACTGGCTCCCGGTAGAATATAGAATACAGTTTAAAGTTTTAGTCCTGACCTATAGAGCTCTTAACAACCAGGCTCCAAGCTACCTATCTGAGCTTTTATCCCCACACACCACCTCTCGGAACCTTAGATCCACATCTGAAAACCTCCTGGCTGTTCCTCGAACCAGACTGAAAACCAAAGGGGACAGGGCCTTTCAGACTATTGCACCCAGACTTTGGAACAGTCTACCTTCAAATCTCTGTCTCTCTAACACTGTAGAGATCTTTAAAAATCATCTAAAAACTCACCTTTTCATCCAGGCGTTCCCTCCCTAAATGTTCAAAAAGATGGCTTTGTTCGGGTTCACACCTTCACTTTGTTTATACTCATGATTTTATTTTCTACGTTTAACACTGCTATTGTTTTTCTGATGTTTTTTATTTGCCCTGATCTTTATCATGTTGTACAGCGCTTTGTGATTTATGTCTGTGAAAGGCGCTCTATAAATAAACTTTTACTTACTTACTTACTTACTTTTACTTACTTACTTACTCCCCATTAGCCGGATCCAGGTGATTACCGGCCAACGTGGACGTTTTAATTATAAAAAAGCTGTTTATGTGTCAGTAGTGTTTTATTTTTATTTAATAATATGAATGTAGGATATATTTTAATAATATGAATGTAGGATATATTTTAATAATATGAATGTAGGATATATTTTAATAATATGAATGTAGGATATATTATCTTATTCCTATGGGTAGAGATGTGTAAACAGATTTAATACAAGACTAAAGCTGTGAATATTCAGTCTGAATTGATCTGACTGATCAGAATATTTTAAACTACATCAGCCAACAACGCTGACCAACAATCAGAAAAATCTGTTTGTTTCTGACAGAATGAAAAAAGAAATAATTCACTTACAACAACAGCTGGAACTACGTTAATTTTCAGATGGATAAAAGAAACAAACAGTGGCCAAAATTGCAGTCTAAATGCACCAGAAAGCAGAGTTTAACACTTATTTTTCTAATATTTCTAAGGGAGTGTATACAGAATGTAATTTATTCTTAAACCGTACTGCCCAGCCCTACTTGTAATGGCATATATTTAACTGTGTTCACTTATTATTACATTCAAATCTTCCTCTCATCAGTAACCTAAAACCATCTCATTCTTCACTGTAGCACCTACCTGCACCTCAGCAGGTCTGGCGCTCCCTGTCTCACCCTCAGCAGGTCTGGCTCTCCCTGTCTCACTCTCAGCAGGTCTGGCTCTCCCTGTCTCACCCTCAACTGGTTCCTGCTGAACTTCATCTCTAATATAAAAACAGTGGACAGGAATAAGGAGTAAAAATACTGTTGGACGACTAGTGCAACATTAAAATCATGGTTGTTATAGTATTATTTAGTCGTGCTTACTTGTTATCATGCTTGAATCTTCCTCTCATCATCAACCATCTAAAATCTCACTCCACTGTAGCACCTACCTGCACCTCAGCAGGTCTGGCGCTGCCTGTCTCACCTTCTTCATCATTTTCCTGCTGAACTTCCTCTGGTCTCTTATATGAAAAAAGTGACATGAATAAGGTTTAAAAATGAAATGTGATGAGAATGTCACAAACAAGCAACAATCACACTTACAAACTCCATTTTTATGTGGAGATTCTACTTTTTTATTTATTTCGTGTCAAATGGTTTTTGTCTGTTACTGTAAAATTCGCCATTTTTGTTGACTAGTAGTGTTGTTTAATGTTTAATGCTAACTAGCAAGATGTTTACGCTAGTCAGCCATTTTAGCGTTTGACCAGAAATACAATTATACTCTTGGACTAAATTATTACCAACTCACAATTCCTTTCTTTTTTTGCCCATGAGAAGAACTCGTTGAGCTGCTGCCGTCTGTATCTGACACCTGTGTCGGTCTGCACCGACTCCTGCTTCACTCAGCCAGCCTGTAACTCCCTGAGGGGAGGGGCTGTGTCGGAGAGAAGTCTGCGGTGTCTTTCAAAATAAAAGCTTGCGAGTCAAATATTTCAAAATCAATCTTTTTCTTCTCCATGTTATTGGGGGGGGACAAATGCGCGTTTGTCCAATATTGGAGGGGACACGTCCCACCCGTCCCCCCCGGTTCCTACGCCCTTGTCTGCATGTGTTGCCTTTAATTTGCCAGATCCTTCATCAGCTGGAGCCCAGGCTCTCTGCAGCTCGGAACACATGATAACAAAGTGTCAACAACCTGTTCCCTTCCCAAGGCCCTTCTGTGCCAAGCCTGCCTGGGTATCTAGGCCGGACTGGGCTGTTATAAGAGTGGCTGTTTTCAGCTTATATGAGATAATTATTTGTGTAATGATAATAATAATAATAATAATAATAATAATAATAATAATGTGTTGATTAATCTGTGCTTAAATCAATAAGGTTGATTGATCTGTGCCTGATTTACTGAAATGAAATGAATTATTACATTGAATGGTTTATATATATATATATATATATATATATATATATATATATATATATATATATATATGGTAATCAGTAATGTTTGATATAACAAGGCAATCGTCACCCGCCCTCAGACAAGGACAAATTAAAGTTACGTTAAACTCATGACACATAGATATTTCTTTACCCCAGATCAGAGCATCCTGTATCTTAAGAAGGCGTGGTGTCTGAGGTTTCCTTGGTAATATCCCTTAACATGGCACGCTCCGATTGGCCAAGTAAATCAAAATACGAGAATATTAAAACAGAATCACTATGATTCAGTCAGTCGCATTCCAGCTTCCCATCATCCAGCGTTCAGTTCTAGATAGCGCTTCGGAACAGCCGTCCGGAGTAACACCTCTTTAACATGAGCATTTCTGGCAAGCTGCCAAAACCCTGCTAAAAGCTGCCTACCGCCGATACAGCAAACGGTTCCTGCAGAACAAAGCTGATATTGTTCCGACTCCTTAAGAGTCCTCCTAGACGCAACGGCTCAATCCATTTGTCGTGACCCGGGACATCTCTGGACTGGAGGGTCGGTGCTACGGGTGTTCTACAGCCCTCGGTGCTCAGAGGTCATCCGACCTCCCTGACCTTCGGATCCATGAAGAGGGTCTCCAAAAAAGGGTAAAGTAGACACACAGATAGCGTCTGATGCTATGATTATAATCAACTCCATAGCTTAACGCAAACCAAATTCTTCCCTTTTGCACCCAGTACTCAGCTTTTCTAGATGCAAAAGTTCTAATAACATCATATTCACACATAGGCACCACATTCATACATCACATTTCATCCGCCTAGATCACAGTAAATATTAGTTCACTTGTCATGTTTTAATTGTTTGGAAAATAACTTCTTACTTTTTATAAACCTGACTCTTTCCTTGAATCAAGACGAAGTGTTCGACAATCCCCGAATAAACAAAGAATCCTAGAATCTTCTGATTAAACATCCAAAGACCAAGCAGGTTGATATTCTATATTTATTTAGAGTATCACAGCTTATTGGTCATAAGCAGAGGTAATATATTAAGCTCTTAAAGCACACAATTTACAAACTACTACATAGCACATAAGACTTTTTTGTTCAATAATGCTGGCGTTATGTAAAAATAAAAGAAGTGGCCCTAGAACAGTTCCCTGCGGAACACCTTTGGCTGCACATGGGTAAAAAATCATGGATGCAACCATGGTCCTGCTTTACGTGTTATCCGTCCATGTGACAAGAACTACACATGAACCAATTAAACTCGCTGACATTCCCAGATCTGATGTGAAATTTCACAAAACGTCTCTGTGACTTTAATGTAAACAGACATGGTGGAGTACGAGCATTCTATCACATCGCTCTGATGTTGTGTTCAACAGGCAGCAATCCTCGAAATTGGACCAAGACAATCCAACATGTTTAATATCCCCAGGTTTTTATTTATTTTATTTTTTTTGGTGCGTTCTTAACGCACCACATACAGCAGAAATATCTGGTAAGGTTTGCTTAAGAGGCATTTCTGTACTACTGTCTATAAAAATAAAAAAATGTCTTTAAAATGATCAGAAAGGGAGGTTTGGGTAAAAAATTGGCATTGTCATCTTTGTGAACCAGGTCTTAGTTAGCGAATCAAACTTCTCATTGGCTTTGACGACTGTTGATCCACAAAATTAAAGGAAAGCAAAGTCCATCTTCAAATGTGCTTCTGAAATGTACAAAATTCAGTTTTGACTTTGAACAGCTGATGTATGACTTCCTTTGTGATTAGGGGTGCCTGAAGCCCTCAGTCCTGGCGTCAGCGCTCCTTGGTCCATTTAGGAGAGCTTTAAGATCACGACACAAGAAAGTCTATATTTATACTGTGTAAGAAAAAGGGGCCTTTCTTTTCCTTAAAGACTAAAACTGGAGCCAGTTGCCTCTAAAAATAGGTATTTGCGTTATTTTTTTGTTTTGTGTCTTTCTGAACGGCTTGTGTGAGGAGATGAGCGGTGGGTTGCCATAGGCTGCAGAGAGAGGGGAAGATGGCATGAGAACACTTAGTTACACATGGCTGTCCTCACTGTTCTTTGGATTTAAATCACAAAACGAGAGACCAAAGCTCACTTAAACCCCTTGTGTTTTCAAAGATACACAAACGCTGTCGTCACAGCAACCAGCAGCCTCCTGCCGTCTTCTGAGCATGTGCATAGGATAAATAAAAAGCCTTGAAAAATAGTAAACAGCTCCAGCTGAGGCATCTGGACAATGCACTGATGTCAGAGTGGCTCAGTTGCATTTGCAGGCCCAGTGACGACATTTAACTGATTTTGCCAAAAAGTTGAGTGGAGGGCTGTTGGAGGGAGAGGAGATAGTTGGGGGTGGTGTGTGTGTGTGTTTGTATAAGACCATGTTGGAAAGAGGGGAAAGACAGAGCGGGTTCCTCAGAGGAGCTACTAGAAGATCAGACAAAGCTGTTTACAGCTGCATTACATCACCAGGAGGTGTAGCAGAGACATACTCAGAAATACTGAGGACATTAATCAACTCAACATGATGGAGGTGGTCCTCACAAGGCTGCGGGACTTTTCCTGCAAGACCTCAACCTTTGATGAGAAGAAACAGGAAGAGCAGGATCCTCAGGTTCGATCTCATCACCTCAGAGGGGGGTGCACAGCTGGAGGAGGAGGCAGCAGACTGGACATAGAAAGCGCTCTGGCCTGGCTGCGAATGGAGCTGGTGAGACCCTGATATATGGGGTGTCATTTATAAAGTCAACCATCAATATTTTGGATTAGACTTTCATAAAAGAAAAACAATGGGAGTTCATTTTTCTAAGTCATATTTTCATATATTCATACATGTATACATGTTAAAGTTCCCAAGTAAATATTGACTTTAAATATTTAGATTACAAACTAAATATTTAGCTCTAAATTAAATATTTAGCTTGCTAACTAAATTATTTATTTTAACATTTATATCTAAATATTTATTTAGGAAAAAAGAATTTTTAGACATAAATGTTAAAGTTCCTGGCTATATATTTATTTTGGGGCTAAATAATGATTTTGCAAACTAAATATTTATTTTGGACAATGAATATTTAGCTGGGATTTAAATTTTTATTTTGAAAATAAATATTTAATTTGTAGCTAAATATTTAGTTTATAAACTAAATATTTTGTTGAGATTTGAAGACTAATTAGTAAATTAAATATTTATTTTACAAACTAAATATTTAGGTAATTTAGTTTGTTAAATAAGTATTTACTAACTAAATATTTAATTTAATATAAATTTAGGTCTGACCTAAATATTTAGTTTGTTAAAAAATTTTAACTCAAAATTAAATATTTAGCTTGCTAACTAAATATTTTGTTGGAAACATTAACATTTATAAATGTATTAATAGCAGTGCAAATACGAATTAGAAAAATACAGTTTGATTGTTTTGTTTCAAATATACTGAACTATTTAAATTTAATTTTCTCTCTTAAGAGAGAGTTTGGATTGTTAGTAGTGATGTTCTGTTGAACAATAGTCCATGAGCTGTCAGTATCTTACCTGCAGGTAAGGTAAAAGTTTGAGATGTTTCCGTAGATGAGTTCAAGCTTGCAGCTTTGGAGTTTGGGGCCTGTTTCAGAGATCTGACAAAGAAAATAGTTCAATCTTCAAAGCTTTGCTAAAAAATTAGGTGATGTAAATGCTTAGAAAACAGTGTTTGCAGGAATAATGGTGGAGATGTTCACAATTGAGTAGTTTTAGAGATCTGAAATCAGCTCAGTTTCCTCCTCCAGGAGATCTCTGTCCACCTTCTGCTGGAAATGCCAGCCTGATTACTGTCATGTTCTTGCTAGACTGAGTTTATTTCATTTCTTTATTAACTGAAAGAAAAGAATAATAATATGGGTAATATTTGCACCTATGCATGTAGCAATGTTGCTTTATAATTTTTATTTCACCTTTAATTACTGCTAATAAATAATGGTGTTTATATCTGAGTAAATTATTCCAGAATGAGATCTTATGGAAGTTTCAAAATAAAAGTCTGATTTCGAGAGTTAGACCAAAATAAAATAAAATTTAATTAAAAACTTTATATTTAAGTAGAAAACTTGATATCTCAAGTAGAAACTCCTGGTGAAATGCTTGGTAACACTTTACAAAAGGGTCCCTTTAATAACATTACTTAGTGCAATATTAAGCATTAATAAACATACTAATGTTTCCCAATTTTATTAACCATTAAATGTCCTTAAGGTTAGGAAAAAGGGCCAGGGGTGTGTTTGTTTAGTAATACATTACTTAATATTAACATTAATATTAATTAACATTAATTAATGTGTAGTTTTTACTATTATTTCTGGAAATATCCATCAAAATGTTGTTGAAAATTAATTAAATAATGCCCAGTTGTTGAAAAATATTGGCGGCTTCTTAACATATGACCATAAAAATCAGGTCTAAAATACATGGGAGCGGGTCTAAGTCTCTGGGCGACACCATATTAGATGCCACGTTTCCTACTACGGGAGCCCATGAGGACACAAAGCATTTACTGATTTGTAACAAATGATTACAAAACTTTCCTCATTCTTAAATGTTGTTGTTTTACACATTTACCTCTTCACTTTTTGTCAGTGGTGAAAGGGAGTCTGATGTGCTTGTCATTTTGCTAAAGTTAGCACTCCCCAGGGCTTTTTGACCCTAATGGGTATCCGTTGGTATGGTCTTAAGCTTGGTTTATGCTTGACGCATTTACTTTCCGCGTGGTGATGCGGCTCGTGGATGGAACGCGCTTCACAACTGGCAGCGTTTATGGTTTGTGCGGCTTGTCTCTGCGGTGAGCCAATATTCTCCCAAACTGAACGGGGCAGCATGGAGCTCTACGGCATGCATCCAACACTACACCATAGTAGAAGTAGAAATTACTGTTTACAACATGGCATTTCAGCATTTTTAACAGCGTCCTCGTCTTTTCTGACAGTGCGAGCTATTTCTCTCCAAGAATTATTAACAACATGTTGATCACGGTGATCTCTGAGAGCTGAATCATACAAATGTCTGTATTTACGAACCTCTGCCATACTAGTTCTTGCCGGTCTGCCATGTTTTTCCGTGTCTGTCCGTCCACGTGGTTAGAAATTTTCCGAGGTGCGCGTTGCGGAAATCTTGGGCCGTGCGGAGACGCTGTGGAGGGGCGTGGTTGTTAAAATGACGCAAAATGACGCAACTTCTCTGCGCGGAGCCGTGCGGACCTCGCGGACGCGTCAACCATAAACCAACCTTTACCCCCAAATTCCACTACCTCCGCTCCGGTCCGCCCCCGCCTTCCGCAGCCGCTCGCTTCCGAACTCAATTTTTACTGGTACCCGCTCTACAACGGCTCCGCTCCGGTGCGGAGACCTGAGGGGGGCAAACAAGCATGCGCGGGATTTTCGAGATCTTGCGATACAGTCCGAGCAATAAACGCGGAAGTTAGATCCAAACACCCGTTGTGCGGGAGAAGCATCGGAAATGAGCTGTTTAATCTGCCCGTCATTGTGTTGAGAGATCAGCAGTGTTTGGATCAACAAAGTGTGACTACTTTGATAGTGGCAACTGTATTTATGGCTTATTTTTGTGCATTTAAACTTCAGCCGCCATTGATAGTTGTTAAAAGTTGTTAAACCTGTGCATATGAAACAAAAAACGCCTTTTGTTTAGCGATTTATTGTGAAAAACGGAAGATGTGCTTGCTCCTTTTCCTGTTGGGCCGTTGTGATTTCTGTCCATTTACTGCGGAGGTGCTCCGGCGTCCGGCAAAAATAGGATCGATTCTATTTTTGCCGGACGCCGGAACAGAGGGCGCCGCACGGCGCCGCACTGCCGGAGCACGGCCGCAGTAGTGGAATTGCTCTGATTGACTAGAACGGGACCGATTTTGCTCCGGCGTTCGTGTCGGAGCGGAGCGCAGCGGAGCGGAGGTAGTGGAATTTGGGGGTTACTCCAACACAAAAATCCTGCTTGCTTGCAACAATTTTGGTATCTACTGACCCTATCGCCAGGAAAAATACACTCTGTCACTTTAAGCAGTTGTTAATTTTTTATTTAGTAGTTTATTAATGCTTAATCATGCACTAAGCAATGTTAATAAAGTAAAGCGTTACTAGATTTTTTAGATTTTCAGTTGGACTCTGTTCAGGAAAAAACTGGAGCTTTTTAACAATTTGATTTTCTTTCTGTGAAACCGACTGAGAGCTTCTGCTGTGTGTTTGAGACCAGTTCAGCGAGGGCAAGAGCAGAGAGAGTAAATCAGCCTGAGGACCTTGGAGGTGCACATCAGACAGACACTTTGCTGGCATGGCGGGACATTTCTTTACACACAGAATAATGAAGCTCACACACCAGGCCCTTCGTGTTAGTCTAAAAAGATCCAAGCAACAGGACCGTTTTGTGTTATAAAATCTGCTAAATGCAAAACTTAGGCAGGAAACTAGCACGTCAGGAAAATGAAGCAGGTTAAAAGATCTCAAAAAGCAACACATCCTGTACTGTCCTAAAGAAATTCTAGAACAAATATAACCCAGAACTACATCTAAAGTCTGATACTGAAATTTGTTTACTGATTAGAAACATTTAAGTGTTCCAAGTTCTTCCTTATTTTCCCCATCCCACCAGCATCTCTGCGGAAAGAGGCTGAGTATGCACGTGTCTGTTTGCCTGTCAGCGACTCTCTAAAGCTCTTGTTACGACCTAATGTATCACTTGGCATTTAACGCTTTTCACTAACACTCCTCGTCATGGTAACCAAGCGTCCTGAGCATACAGAGATAGAAGAAAGCACGCGTCTGAACGGGAGCTGAACAGGAACATCGTGTTAACACAGAAAAGCCTTTAGAGGAACTTCAAAGGATGATTCAAGAAATGTCAGAGGAGCCCAGATGACTGTTTAACTATGAAGAGTCTCTTTGTCTTTAAGACTCATTGTTATTTTTTTTCATGCAGCATGTTGGTTAGTCAGCATCTCCTGGTGAATAAAATGTCTCGTGAGAAAAGATTTCCTCTCTTATTCCGTTCTAAGAATTCAAATGAACAGCCGGAAAAGCACTGCAGTTCAAAAACAATTATTTATTTCCCTTATGCAAAATAAGCAGTTTTACAAATAAAGCCAATTAATACATTTACAGATAAATTAGACTATAACCCGCGATAAATTTAAGTGGTAATTTTAATGTTTTATTTTGCAGAAATCTATAGGAAGTGCTGTTGATTTTTGATTAGAATGCTGAATGCTGTCTGTAATAACGGGTTTGTTCCACCAGAGGGTGGAAAAAACATTTAATCTCAAAAAGCCAGAGGATTGAGTTATTATGTTTCCACCCAGTTGACCTAAATAATACTCATACACATGCCAGGACGCTGGTTGCTGTGACATTTAAAAAAAAACTTTTATTGACAACTTTCAAACAAACAACCAAACACTTATTTGAAGTAAAATTACAATCACTGCTGTTTTGTCTAAAAGTTTCAGAGCATCAATTAATCGTCCCAAAAAAAACGTACTTTCATTAGAAAATACATATGTTCAGAAAAGGCCCTTGAGCCTTTTCTGCAACAATGGCTTGTGGGTAATACACAAGTGTGAGTCCAGGGTGCAAAAGGCGAGTGATCAACTTCTGCACTTGAGAATCGGGACACCCTACGTCTCACACCCCTAGTCGGGAACGTGCAATTGAAGGGCGCAAACGTGGGATTGTATTGGGATTGGGCCTATGCATTGTTTAGTTGGAGGAATGTGAAATTTGAGCCCTCCAGTGGCAGAAAAGAGAACAACACTCTGGTTTCCAACAGAATTTAGAAAAGGGGAGTTGCTTCCCTCCATGCAGTGTCTAGAAGGGTTAATACACGTCTGTACGTTTTAGCCTTTTAAGACTGTTTTAGCCTCCTTAACGTAATGAAGCTTTTGTAGCTAGCTGCTAATGGCTCCAGCTGTAGCTCATTCATTTAATCTTGTTGAACACAGATAATGTAAATAGGTGTGCTGAGTTTTAATTGTTAAGCTATCTGTATGTGAAGATGGCTTTCCTGTTATTTAGGCTAACTATGCTGTTAACACTAAAATAAATACATTTCGGCAACTATGCCCGTTTTTTGTGCAGCCACGGTTGCAACAACCAGCGTATTATTGAAAACAGGTGACATGGGATTACCATTGACTTTTCTAGCCTACCTGTTGAGATTTATATTTTCATTTAGTTTAATTTTTTTTATTATAATCATATTTTAATTATCGTGTCATAGTATATATCTGATTCTGCGAAAAAGCCTATTAAAATGTGTTTTCTTGGGTACCTTTCTAGGTAAAAATTAATGCACTGGGGGCCATCAAAGATGGCAGCCGGCCACTACGGCAGCTCCAAAGCACAGCGCCAGTCTACGGGGTGTTCATGTGCATGATGTCGGTGGCGCTTGCCGAAAGCACCACAGAGGCATTAAATGCAGTCATGCTGATTGGCCAAAAACATTCCAGTTCTCCCTAGCAACTAAACGTGATTGGGTGTTTAGCTGAAGTTCAGGGGCTCTGTGAAAAGCGTGATATAGTAGGTTTCTTTTTAGATTCTTTCCTCCCGTCACATCAGGGAGGGCAGCGCTCTCTAATGGCAATCTGACAATAAGATGATCTGAGTCCTCTTCTGAATAGCTTACAGTTTTTCATATAACTGTATAGGAATAGTTGTTGATATTAATCAGCAAAGTGTAAATATCAAGCAGTAAATTTGTTTTTCACTAATTTGACCACACATTGAAACATAAATCTAGTTTGAGACTGAGAAAACGCTGTAAGAAACAAAAGCAAAGCCTCAGGATTTAGTCTTGTTCATCAGCAGCCTGCTGAAAGTTGCTCACGTCCAAAGTGTACAGCTCAGTGTTTGAAAAGGAATAATGAGGTGGAGCCCAGCTGGCTCTCCAAGTTCATGTTTCATCTCTCCATCCATCCCCCGAGTGTCGACAAAGGCAGCATCTCTCAGCCAGCGCCCGTCTCTCACTGGAGCTGTAATTAACGCAGAAAAGAAATGCAGATCGGGCCTCTGAGCTTTTGTTCAAGACATTCCTGAATCCTTTGGACAAACTTGGACTCTGAGACTGGTGGGGTTCTGAATATGTCATTTTACAATGCTGGTGATTGGAAAGCCTCTTATAAATGGAGAGAGATGTCAACAAGAAAAGTGGAAAATTGCATTTATGTTTGAAAGGACAGAGCACTGAAATGCTGCTGTTTTGAACCAAGAGACGTTTGGATTGTACAGAAGGGTGGTTGTTTTAAAAAAATGCAAGAAATTAAGTTTATTTATGTTATCTATGTTTTTTTAAACATTTGCCTTCTTTTGACAATGAACCAAAATTCAAAGGTGTCCTTTGTGCACAGATGGAGATGCGCTCCCAGGATCAGGCTCTGATACGTCAACTGATGGAGCTTCACTCTGGCATCCAGGAGCTCAAGCAGGAGCTGTCTGAGGAGGAGCAAGAGGAAGACACTGATGAGGAGGAAGAGGAGGACAGTTACTGGGATCTGGGGAGTGAAGGAGGAAATGGAAGCTTCTTCTCCACTCCAGGGAGGGTGGTCTGTAACATGTACCATCAGAAGATTCCTCAGTACCTTTACTCGAGAGGTTTACCTGAGAAGGTTCTCTCCAGGAGGAGCTCTGTGCCTTAAAGTTCATTTATTATACAAATTATTTAAGTTTAGAATCATGTTGAGTTCTCACAAAATGCTTAACAGACGTGTGATTGAAAAACAGTTACACAAACACTTGACCTCGTGAAAAAACATGTTTTATTTTAGAGTTAGAAATACTTATTTTATTTTTCAATAAATATTCACTTAGTTGCATTTTGTAATTTGTGCCACTAGATGTCCCCGTAGCATTGCTAAAGAACAAAACTTTAAAAAAAATTATGACAAAAACACATTTTTATGTGAGTGATCAATTAACAACAATTAAAAATGAAGGGGAACAAAAAAATCTTGTAAATTGTATTTTAGTTGTAAATCAAAAAAAGTTTGTTTTGATATTAGTGAGAAAAAAACATAAAATCGTACAATTTCTTATCAGTTCAATAAAATTGATTTGATTTCTGCTAACATTTTTTAGTGTTAACCATTCTTTTTTCACTTATGGTTAGATTTTTTTTTATAATCTCTTAAAATATGAACATATTTTTCTTTTTCTGGTTATTAAAAACTGTTTTCTTAAGCAAATTATAGGATCAGACTTAAGGAATCCTTTGCAAAAAAGAATGAATCTTTGACTCTAATATGTCGTGAAATTAAATCCTGATGTGTTCAGATCTGTTTTCTGAACTGTTTTAACTGAAGATGTTCTCTAATAAGAGTTGATGCAGCTTTTTAAAACCAAAATGTTGCAAATGATTTGTCCTTTTCGTGATGCAGATTTGCTGTATTTTTACTTCCATACCAAACTAAACTGACTGTGTGGCTGACTGAGGCTTTTATAAATCCCTTGATAAAGAACAACGTCATCTCTGACCTTTGAAGGCTCTAAAACCCTTCTAACGACTTTGTGTGTGAGTTTATTTGTCGTTAAAGTGACCTTTACTTAAATCTAGCTCGTGTTTCAACCTGCAACTGTGGTCAAAATGATCGGACAACATTTGGAAAAGATGAAAATCAATTGTTCTGAAAGAAGATGCTCAATAAAGATACTAAGATGATGAAGTTGGAGATTTTATTTTTTCTGTCCCGTTCATAAAGATTCATTCTTTTGCACAAATGCAACTCGTATTTGCACAACGTGAGCTCCTGCAGCTGGTTTTTTTCCCAATGTGGGGAAGCCCGATCCAGGGGCTGCTCACAGCTGATCCTCCCCCTCTCCCTCCACCTCCACACCCCCTAAGCTCTCCCTCCTCAGTCTTTGGATCTCCGTGCTGAGTCCCAGCAGGGTCTGAGCCAGCTGGAGGTCCTGAGTGCGCATTTCCAGCTGCAGGACAACCGGACAACAGAGAGGGAACAGAAACATGAGGATGGATTAGGAAAGTGCTTCTTCTTCTTTAAACTTTCAACAAACTTCATTTAAAAAACAGACAGTTGGGAAATGCTACACTCTAAAATGGAGAGGGTGAAAGTGGAGCTTACCAGCTCAGACCTGAGCCAGGTGATTGCTCCATCTATCTGGGCACGGCGCAGCTCCTCGTTGGCTTGGTGGCTACGGCGGACGCTGCAGTCGTGAGGATCTTCTCTGGGCTCTGTGTTCGTTCTGAAGGCATGAATCAGTTTGTTCTTTATGTTCTCCAGCACCATCGTAGACAACGTGTCCTCACTGTGGCTGTCTCGGTTCATGTTGGGCGGGTACCTCCAGCCAAACTTTCCTCTACGTCCTGTTTCTTCTCACGGCAAGCTGCTGGTCGTCCTCCTCTGAGCAGGGTTGTCACCTCTTTGCCTTGCTGGTGCTGAACTGGCTTGTTTAGTCATTGTTACTATGGAGAAACACCCTCCGCCTGCACCTCCCTCCTCCTTCTCCTTCTCTCCTAATAAGAATGGTGGAAGATCTTGGACAAAGACTATTGTTGCTACTAAAAGGAGCTGAAAAGACCCCTCACGCCACCCCCCCACCCCTTTTTCTTCCCAGGAAATCCAGCACCTCGTTCAATCCCAGTGTGAGAAGCCTGTCCTGATAGAGCTCTCATTCTTAGAAAACCCCTGTGTGTGTGTGTACACCTGCACAAAATCAATCAACTCCCCCCAGTGGACCTTTCTCAGCATGCCTCTAAATAAGACCTGCTTGTCAGCTTAGAGCAGATGAACAGGTTGAGCGAGGAGCAGACACAGCCTCAGTGTTGGCTGATTCTCAGGCACAAAGACCATCCTGCGGTGAAATATAACCAGGCCCTTTGTGCCCTTGAGTCCATTCCCCTCTTGGGCGTTTTGGGACGGTTTCTGGCAACACTGCCATGGGCGTCGCACCCGTGGGGGGATGTGGGGGATGCAACACCCACACTTTTCTTATTGAGATCATTCAACACCCACACTTTTGGCGTTGCACCCGCGCAGGGCCGGCTTTGCCGACAGGCGACACAGGTGGCCGCCTGGGGCACCATCTGAGGGATAGGGCGCAAAATTAAAAATAAATAAATAAAAAGTTTATTAAATTTATGTTTGTAATATGAAATGCACTCTCTACATACTTGAAATTCCCCTCTGAAATAACATGAAATTAAAACATCAATATTTAAATTCTAATGATCTGGCTGCATGACGAGCTC